AACTTCAATAATTCATAACTTTCTTATTTTCATTCAGAATTAGCTCAAACTTTCACTCACCTGATTTTCTTATTATTCTGCCTCTATCGAAACAAACTTATTTTTGGGGTGGACTTTCCCTTTAAGTGTAAGCCTACCCGCAAAATGTGCAAACAAACCTTGCCGCGTCATTTATTTCAGTCCTTTGCGGAAAGAAAGTAGAAAGTGATACTGATAAATGACATAAATTATTAGGTCTAGAGATAATAATCTTGATATAGAATATATGCCTACATACGCCTACTAACAAGCACTTGTGCTTTCTTAGCAGTCAGGTAAAATAAGCACCACTTCACCACCAATACGTATATGCACTTAACTTACATAGAGAAATTAAATGTTTTTGATGTGCTGTATATATATAGCATAGCGTGTCTATGTCAGAATATCAATCCGAATTGTGATGGACTGATAGAGCAAGAGTGTAGAGACACTGATAGAGATTTTTTTCTGTACATTTCCTCATTAATTACGGTTATATAGAGTTATATTATTCGCCTGCATGGATATGATTCTTCTTGAAACTGACTAAGAAAATACTTTTTATAGTGGATTTGCTTATATTCTTTCCCAAATTAAAGATAAACTCCAATACTGGTAAAAAAAATAATAATAATTCTCACAGAATCAAACGAAACTTACACTGAATGTTCAAGATTACAAATAAATGACATGTGCCAAACAATTTTGGAAGAAAATGTATACTGGCTGAGTAATGAGCATAGAAAGACAAGGAAATCAAGGTAGTACTAGCCCCGACACCGTGTGTGTTGTCCCATATATAGCTTTCTATGTGAGTGCTTGTTACTTTACCAAGACTCGGTCAAATTTATTATGATTTTGATGACTCCAGAACCTTGCAGTGCACACCAATACTTACATGCTATACATGATCAACTGTTTCTGATCCTTTCCACACCTTTTCTTTCACAATTCAATCGCATTACCAGTACTAAAGTTTATTTTTAATGTACAATTAAACATCATACACAACCATTCAACTAAACTATGAAACGATATCAAGACATTAATTTTAATACCCAAGTCAAACTAACGAGACAGACAACAAACTACATAACCCCGTCCGTATAGACCGGTTTACTAACATAGTCAAATTTATCGATGTTTCCTTTCTGGGGACATATAGTGACGAGGTATTCTATTATTAAACCCGTTATTAAGAGAATGAACTACAATACTCGGAATCCAGTCTGCATACACTATTTGTTGCTATGTTGGGCAAGTCTCGAGTTTGCCGTCAGGTTGTCAAGAACAATCTTTATTTAATGATTATGCATAACATTTGGATATGTTATTTGGCCGGTCTATTTGTCATGCGTGGTATGCCATTGTCGTTTATGTAGTGCAGAAAGGAGGAAGAGAGGGTTCCACGTCCGTAATTGTAAATGAAGAGAAAGAAAGAGAGAGAAACCGAGGTCGGAATTTGTCAATATTGGCTTATAACTATATTTGCTTTGCACGCCCACGTGTATGTACTGTCTCATGAGGAACTCAAGTTAAATTCCGTGGAAAATGAAGACGATATTGATCGTATCGCGGAAAGAGAAACGCCAGATTAATAGTTCTAATGGGGAAGATTTCTTGCTCTTTAAGTACTGGTGAAGATGAAGAAAAAAATCTTATGTACGATAAGGAGCTCTCACCAGACACACGTTTTTAATTGTTGTATGAATAGTACTCTACATTACTCTAATGGTGACGACCCATGTAGTTAATATTATATGCTGAGCAGAGCCCGGTAATAAGACAGTGTTGTTTAATAATGAACAATGGATGTTAAGTGTCGGGCACCACACGCCCTCTCGACTCCAATTTGCCACTCGAAAATGTTCACCCCTTATAGAAAATATCTTGCAAATTTGTTGGTCAAGAGTAGTTCACGTGATTTAACGTTTCACGGTGAAGCCTGTCTATAAAGACCGCTCTAGGGGGACGAAAAGTGTTCTTTATAATTAATGGTCTTTATGTATAGGTTGTTTATTTTGACGTTTCGATGAGAGACATTATTCGAAGGAAATAGAAAATGTGGTCTTTATAGACAGTTGGTCGCTAAGGCAGGTTTTACTGACTCAACAATTTTTTCATACAATCAGTAAAACAGACCTAATGCAAAGAATTAAAGGGAGGCGTTACTACTTCAACCAGAAGGGATTAGACTGCCCAGCGAGCCAACGAGGTCACTGTGACAGGTGGCTATCTCATTAACTCAGCTCTCATTTAACATAAGAAAAAGAGGATCATGGGGGACCAACAGGCACCGATTGGGGAAGTTTTCTATATAGAGGGAGCAAGTAGCTTCAAGTAGGACAGTGTGCCTTTAAAACAACGCCAACCGAAACGAAATGTGGAGCCTCCACAAATCGGATTTGACTTACAATAGAAGCAAAAAAAATACACGTTTGTTACATTTCCTTATATGGTATGATAATTGGCAGACCTCGGTAGATCGAGCTCGATTGAACTTTGCACCGTTTTTTATTGAGGCATGACGTCATGCGGGAAGCGGAACTTACACAAACCAGGGCATTGTGGTTTTTGGAGGAGTCATTCCAAGTGAAAGAATGTATACCACGCAAATGAAACGTAAATTTGGTCGTGAATTTTGGTGCAAGAAAATTCTCTCGATCTAAAACTTAATTCTATTGGCAAGCAGAAATTGCACCTCAAGTCATCTTCATTTGTTTGTTTGTTTGTTTGATTATTTTATTTTAGCACGGTGGCATACTTCAGCCAGTGGCTGTTCTTCAGCAATGCCGTGCATATTATAAACAGCAATCGCAATTTTACAAAGAAACATATTTATTAACATGGTTTACATACAAAGTGAAATAAAATTTTGCATAACAATCAAAGATTTCTTGTAATTTAGTAATTTCCATTTCACTACGTTGATATATTTAGAATCTTGTGTCAACTAAAGCAATAGAATAATAGGGATTATCAAATTTTAAAGAATAACGTGCCTCTTTGGATTGATCTATGCTTTCCAGGCCCAAAGATGACTTTGGCAATTGAAGTGGATTTGTATTATTGAGTCGTCATAAAGTATCTGCAAAGATCTGAAGGGCAATAAACATCGATCATGTTAAACATGTCAAAACATGAATCAATCATGAAAACAAAATCACAAGTAAGCAAGAAGAAATGGGTTGCCATATTCTTGAGGTGTTTTATGGGTCTAGACATTTGAAGCAAGCACAATAACACTTGTGAACACAGCAATATTAGAGGGACAGACCGCTTGTAACCCCTCCCAAATACGCCACTTGCAGATGGGTCTTTTTTCCTGTAACCATTATCTGTCTACATACGGTATGATGTACGAGTGAATGCGGGGTTGATGAATCACACATCTAGGAGTTGTGGACATTTGTGGGCGTAATGATAGCGGAAAAATACTGAATCCATTTAAAGGTAGTGTCAGCGATGTGCTGACAGAGATAATTTGCAAGAAACATTGTATGTTCAAAAGCGGAAGCACTGTCGTATAATTATTGAAAGATATTGAGTCTTGACTCGTTCTCGTACAATCGGTACTACATGAATCATTATTGTTATTATTATTATTATTATCACCATTGTTATAGGTATTGTTATCATTAGAGCAAGATACGATATCATGTAGACCCTCTGAAGGTATAATGTAACGTACGTTGAATAATAATGTTGAAATACCTTGATTAAAGATTATAATTAAGAAGGAATACATTTAATGAACGGATATCAATGCAGATAATAATCTTCTAGCATAGTTATCTCAAGCTAGCAGATCGAACCACACTGTACTATATCTTTAGCGAAGTTTTGGCAAGCAACACTAGATTGCGCCCTTGACATTTTTGTTATAAATAGATATACTCTTCATTCTGTTATTCATTATAATCGTAAATATATTTTTCTTGGATACAACCTGTCTCTTGCCCGATTTATTTGTAAATTGATGCCGTACATAGAATACTACTCTCTAAAGTCTAGATACTTCCTTTAAGTAGTTGTGAATACATAGGCATTGACTATCGCGATGACTAAATTTACCAAATGGATACAGTCATTGTTTGCTGTCCGTACAATAGACGCGAGTAGGTAACCATGGTGATAAAACCAGGCAAAGGAGTTAGACGAGTGAATTTCATTATCTAACCGATAGAGGGGCCTTTGAAGGAAATAATATATGTAAAGTGTTGCCGTGCAATGCGGAAGAGGAACTACATTTTCTGCCGTGTCCCTTGCAATCCGTATGATCCATGTTTTTATGCACTTTTTAAATCCTAAAATCATTGAAATTCAGCTTTGCCGCGATTATTATTATAACTTCTTTTTTTTAGCCAGCTTGCGGAGCATTCATGTGTTTTTTTAATGATGCGATACCTGCTTTTTAGAAAGCAATCCCATGTATAAAAAGGCCACTTGACTATAAACAGCACATTTTCTGTTTCTCTTGAAGTGTGTTTCTCTTTCACATAAAGATACCTGATATACAGGTTTTACTCTATTGAGATGCAAATCAGAATAACTCCCAAGAATACGTATGTTGTGCGCATTATTGAATATGATTTAATTTAATCTTAAAGGTATAGACCAGTCTTGGAAATGACCCCCTCTCAAAAAAATGAAATGGAAGCTCTTATTATCAATCAAGTGAAAGAATATGTTTTGACTAGTACGTCATGATACACATTTTGCCGGGAAACCGCCTACTACTTGATATATTTGGTAAATTATCGCATAGTCCCATATACATCTTTCTTTACCAAGACTGGGCCAAATTTCTTATCATTTTGATGATTCCAGAACCTTGCAGTATACACCAATACTTATAAGCTAGATGATCAACCTTTTCTGATCGATTCCACAACGTTTCTTTCGCACTGCAATCGTATGACCAGAACTGGTGTATACCTTAAAGGTTAAACAAAATTAACTGTTCCATTATTTTACAGGTAATTTCAACAACTCATTTCGCCAGTAAACATGCAGAAGGCTCAGGAATACGACTGGAAGGATTCGAACCTCGCTCTCTTTGGTTCGGATGTCGATAAGGGAGTGAAGAAGGCGTCTGCTGAGACAGAACCAGCCTGGGAAGGAGCAGGACAGGGTGTCGGCATCCAGATCTGGCGTATTGTCAAATTCAAGGTAAACGTCTGACATTATCTCTTTTAACTTTCTAGTCCCTTAGATTTAGGTCTTTGTCTATTTAAATATAGCTGAGTAGAGAGTAGTCTTGCCAAAGAATGTCGATGGGAAAACGCGTACCCCGAACCATATGGCCCGTAGTACACTTTGCACAAGGGCGTTGTTAGTCGACAGAGTTGAGCCCTTGTGCCCCACCCATCCCCCTTCGTTTTTGTTAGGTTACATTTCCGAACCCTGTCAGCACATCCACATATTATTTTTTGATCATCGTTATGATTTATTTTGCTTTGGGGGCTATGTGTTTTCTCTGTATTGTTGCCTGTTAAAAATTTTCCTGCAAAATTCGTCTGGAAAACATGTCCAAACACAAAACACCAGTCGTACTGCATGGATGTAGACCGAGTGTAAAACAACAAGGCTATTGAGATAGGAGAGAGAGGGTTCTTGTTAAGTTGCCTCTCCTCTCCCTTTCGTTGACTCTCTTTCTCTTTCTTCTTTATCATTCTCTTTCTCTTTCTTCTTTATCATTCTCTTTCTCTCTCTCTATCTTTCTTGATCTCTCTATCTTTCTTCTTTCTCGTCTTCCTTTCTGTTTATTTTTCAGTTATACGGGGGCCCGTCTCTATTTGGCTACACCATTGCCCCAATGGGAGAGGGCGTGTGTGGTCTAGTGACACCACAGAACTCCTCCATTAAATATGACACCTCTAATTTGTAACAAATGTCATTCTTCTTTGTGCAGGTACAACATTGGGATAAAGATCAATATGGAAGCTTCTACGATGGAGATTCCTATATCATCCTCAACACATACGTAAGTTGTGCAATAACAACACAATTGCAAAGCACTTTAAAAAATTCAACCTGACGGCAAATTCATTTCCTTGTTGATTATCCCCACATAAATCATGTACGGATCACATTAAGAAAATATTCATAACAGGTGACTTGCACTTGACAATCTGATTACTTTACAAACATTGCCTATTTTACATAATTATGTATGTACCTTCTTAGCTGTCATTTCTAAATGTAATCATATAAAATCTATCATATGCGCTTGTTCTACCACTATCTAATTAATCATAATCAAACTTATTGGTTCAGTAATTTTCGATTTCGGATACTTTTAAGCAAATTTTGGTATTGAGAAATTGCGTTTCGTGTCATTCCATCACCATACAGCAGTTAGATGTATGGTTAATCTTCTGAATATACGTGCGTTAATTTAACTTTGTCCACTTTTGTTCTATTATTCATCATATATCATAGAAAGAAAAACATCTTTACTTAAAAGGTGTTTTAAATATAGTTTCTGAGAGTATGGAACCCAAACAGAACAAACATTTATATTAGTTTTTTTTCTTGCATAATTGCTTTTTTTCTTGTATATTTCTAGAAAAATCCAGGCGAGGAAGATCTAGAACACGACCTTCATTTTTGGATCGGAAAGAATTCTACCCAGGTGAGTTCTAAAATGCAGTGGCCAAAAAAAGGTCCCAGAAAAAAAAAATCAATAAAAATTTCGTGTAAAATAGTTTCAACAGCAACTCCCCCTGAAAATGGATATTTTGATATCACTAATCTAATGGCAAGCATACGTCAGGATATCTCAGACAACTACTTTCTGTCGTCACACTGTGGCTTGTATGGTCAGTGAAGAAAGTGATTCTGTGATCACAGTGTGTTACAATGGAAGCACAGTGTGAACATTGTTTTTTCACGTATTCAACACCATGAGAGTGCTTTAAATCAAAGATCAAAGTGTGATATTACACTCTGCGATTCTTTATGTGATCACAGTGCGTTACAGCTTATTTAGTGTTTTTCATACGAGAGGTTTAAGTGTTACAAATACTCTCATCACACCGTGTAGTGTACACGCTTTAACTCTCCATGTAAGATCACATTACAAACACAGTGTGAACATAGTGTTGTCTCATACTAAATATTAAAGTGTTTCAAATCCACTCAATGGTCACAATGTGGTGTGTATACACTTCAAGTAGTATCAAGTATTAAGTATCAAGTTTATTTGTCTTCCAGAAAACACATGTGACAAAATATAATAGAGTATAATCATAACAGTACAATGTAGAATAAAGGAAGACGAAGAGACCTTGGTTGAAGCACAGCTTGTTATCTGTGATCAAAGTAGATCATAGTGTAAACACAGTAGGTCACAGTTTGAACACAGTAGGTCACAGTGTGAACAAAGTTTGAACATAGTGTTGTCTCATTGTCCACACTGTGGAAGTGTTCCAAAAGCCCTCTTACCATACTCCGGTGTGAACCCACTTTGATTCTCTGTGTGATCACAGTGGGCCAGGGTGTGAACGCAGTGTAAAAATACGTTTTCAACTGGTTTTCACATTACCCATACTTTTGAAGTGTTCTAATTCATCTGGTCAGGCGCGGATCCAGGGGGGGGGGGCCGAGCGGGCCTTGGCCCCCCCTCCCCGCCAAAAAAAAAAAAAAAAAAAGAGAGAAGAAGGGAAAGAAGGGAGAAAGGGAAAAGGGAGAAAAAGGGAAAGAAAGAAGAGGAAGAAGAAAAGTAAAGGGAGAAGAAGGAGATCGGGGGGGGCGAAAGAGCCTTGCCTCCCAGGCTGTTAACCCCCCCCCCCCCCCCCATCAAAAAAAAATGAGAGAGAAGGAAGGAAAGGGAAAGAAAAAAAGAGGAGATACTGGCGTACTGATAGAGGGGGGGGGGGGGCTTGGGGGAAATCAAATTCAAACGTGGTTTATTTCTGATTCCACAACGGTGTATTACAAATAATGCTGAAATGACATAATTTCCGAAATTTTTCCTCACTTTTTAGTAAATTATACGTTTGTATGTGTTTGTTGGAAAATAACAAAATTCCTAAATTTACAACCAGGCAAAAAATATGATTCTTGAGATTCCTACATGTCAGGGCCCGAGGTACGAGATCGAGAGCCTCGAGGCATCAAAATATGCTCATCTGACCGTGATTAAATGCCTAAAACCCCTTAGCTTCCGGGGGCTTTACCCCCTGGATTCCATCTAGGGCCCTACGGCGGGCCCTTAGATGATCATCTGACGGTAATTTAATGCCTAAAACCTTTGATTTTTGGGGGGCTCCGCCCCCTGGACCCCACGCCAAATAGTGACTTGCCAGTGTCACAAAATAATAAGGTATACACAAAAATATGCTCATCTGACCTTAATTGAACGCCTAAAACCCCTGAGCTTCCGGGGCCGGCTCCGCCGCCTCGACCCCACCAGGGACCCTAAGGCGGGCCCCTGAATGCTTATCTGACCGTAATTTATTGCCTTAAACCCCTGAGCTTGCGGGGTCGGACAAGGTATCAAGATGTGTTTATCTGACTGCAGGCGCGTAGCCAGGGGGGGGGGGGGATGGCGGTCCCCCCAATCGAAAGAGGACGTAGGAAGAAAAAGGAGCAGACAAAGAACATCTTTGAAATTCAGACAAGGATTAAGAGTATAGAGAACGGTACAACGCATCGTTTTCTTTCTCTAATAATAAAACGTCAAAGCCTCGCGCAGGAGTGGAGGAGGGGGGGGGGGAATGAATTGAGACGAGGATTCAGAGGCGAGAACGGTAATACGAATCTTTAATTATTTAATGAAACGTAAAGCTTATGCGCTTCGCGCGGGATGGAGGAGGAACTAAATTCCGATGAGGATTATTTTCGAGAACGGTACAATGAATCGTCTTCTTCTTTAATGATTAAATGAAGATTAAAAGCTTCCGCGCCTCGCGCGGGAGGGGGGAAACTGAATTCAGACGAGGATTAAGAGTCGAGAACTGTACAACGAATCGTCTTCTTTCTCTAATGATTTAATGAAACGTAGAAGCTTCCGCGCTTCGCGCAGGAGGGGGAGGGGGAGGAACTGAATTTAGACAAGGATTAAGAGTCGAGAACTGTACAACGAATCGTTTTCTTCTTTAATGATTGAATGAAACGTCAAAGCTTCCGCGCTTTGCGCGGCAGGGGGGGGGGACTGAAATCAGACGAGGATAAAGGGTCGAGAACGGTACAACGAATCGTCTTCTTTCTTTAATAGTTTAATAAAACGTCAAAGCTTCCGCGCTTCGCGCAGGAGGGGGAAGGGAGGAACTGAATTTAGACAAGGATTAAGAGTCAAGAACTGTACAACGAATCGTTTTCTTTCTCTAATGATTTAATGAAACGTAAAAGCTTCCGCGCTTTGCGCGGGAGGGGGGGGAAATGAAATCAGACGAGGATAAAGGGTCGAGAACGGTACAACGAATCGTCTTCTTTCTTTAATAGTTTAATAAAACGTCAAAGCTTCCGCGCTTCGCGCAGGAGGGGGAAGGGAGGAACTGAATTTAGACAAGGATTAAGAGTCGAGAACTGTACAACGAATCGTTTTCTTTCTCTAATGATTTAATGAAACGTAAAAGCTTCCGCGCTTTGCGCGGGAGGGGGGGGGGAACTGAAATCAGACGAGGATAAAGGGTCGAGAACGGTACAAAGAATCGTCTTCTTTCTTTAATAGTTTAATAAAACGTCAAAGCTTCCGCGCTTCGCGCAGGAGGGGGAAGGAAGGAACTGAATTTAGACAAGGATTAAGAGTCGAGAACTGTACAACGAATCGTTTTCTTTCTCTAATGATTTAATGAAACGTAAAAGCTTCCGCGCTTTGCGCGGGAGGGGGGGGGGGGAACTGAAATCAGACGTGAATAAAGGGTCGAGAACGGTACAACGAATCGTCTTCTTTCTTTAATAGTTTATTAAAACGTCAAAGCTTCCGCGCTTCGCGCAGGAGGAGGAGGAGGGGGGGACTAAATTTAGACAAGGATTAAGAGTCGAGAACTGTACAACGAATCGTCTTCTTTCTCTAATAATTTAATAAATCGTAAAATTTTCCGCGCTTAGCGCGGGAGGGGAAAAACTAAATTCAGACGAGAATTATTTTCGAGAACGGTACAACGAATCGTCTTCTTTCTTTAATAGTTTAATAAAACGTCAATGCTTCCGCGCTTCGCGCAGGAGAGGGAGGGGGTGGGACTGAATTTAGACAAGGATTAAGAGTCGAGAATTGTACAACGAATCGTCTTCTTTCTCTAATAATTTAATAAATCGTAAAATTTTCCGCGCTTCGCGCGGGAGGAGAAAAACTTAATTCAGACGAGATTTATTTTCGAGAACGGTACAACGAATCGTCTTCTTTCTCTAATAATATAATGAAACGTCAAAGCCTGGGAGGGGGAAACTCGCCCCCCCCCCCTGCACCGACCCCCCCCCCGCATTACGTCACTGTTGTTCACCATAACGTACCAATATTTGGCTCGCATAATTTCAAATTTGCCCCCCCCCCCTAAGAAATCCTGGATCCGCGCCTGCATCTGGTGATCACTCTGGTGTGTATACAATGTAATTCCTTCTGTGGTAATATAGTATCACACCATAGTGCACAGTGTGAACAGTCTTTGACATACTCGGGACCTTTCTGAAATCCTTTCTGTCTGTGTATATACTCGGCGTGCTATAGTGTGTTCTTTCAAACAAGGTTTACCCTGTCCTAACCAGTGTGCATTATTACAAGCTATTTTGGCATAATGAATCAATTGACTTTGAATTATTATTTTGCAAATTTGGCCGTTCGGCTATGAACGTAGGAGAGTGGCAAATAAAGATTAGTACTTTGCCAAAGGACCGCGGCCATTGTACTTGATAGTCCGGGTACTTATCCATAAGACCACAACACCTGTACGATGTTTGATACCATGATTGTAATTGTTGTTTTTCTCCCATGACATTCCCCATCTAGGATGAGTATGGTACAGCAGCCTACAAGACAGTTGAACTGGACACACTCTTGGATGATAAGCCCGTTCAGCATCGCGAAGTCCAGGGGCATGAGAGTTCTCTATTTAAGGGCTACTTCAAAAAATTCGAGTAAGAGTTTGTTTGTTTATTTTGTTATATTAAATGATTTGAAGCTTTCGTTTCACCCGTATGGTTTTGTCAGACTTCAGGATTCAAATTAGTTTTCTTTGTTCCTCCCTAAGTTTGTTTTATTCGATAATTTACGTCATTATTATTATTATTATTATTTATTTGACCAATCGGAAAACATACAGTGAGTATAACAATCAGATAATACATAGACAATTCATAATACATTCAAACAGCTTTAGGAAAGTGGAGAGGAGATAGAGAGAAGGATACAATCTGCTGGTCAGGGGTGACAAAAGCAATTTAAATTGCTATTACTCGAAAGCATGTCACCCCCACAGTCTGCATCCTGGAAAATTAAGAGTAAAGAACAGAATAAAAATTCACAATATGAGAAAATAAATAAATATACATATATATATATATATCAGGATAACAATTGTTCTTTGAAACCTTTAGGTCCGTATTCATTTACACCTAACCTTTGGTCTAAAATCATGTTCAAAAAGGAGAACTTAGACGTTAGACTAAATTCATGAATCCCGACACAATCTAAAACCCAGCGTGGGCTTTACGTTAACAATAATACACGCCTATGTATTTTGTGTACAATTTTTAATTTTTTTTATTAACATCCTTCATTTTTTTTATTAATTAATTTGCAATATTCTTTTCTTTACATTCTTCTTTGCGAATTGTCTGTATTAGGGATGAGTCAGCTTTGTTTCTTTATTCTTCCCCCTTCTGCTATAAATGATTTGAGTATTAAAAGACTTCCATATCAAGGGAGATCCACATCTAATGTATCTGTATACTCTTTTGTAAAATATTTAAGGTATGTGGTTGGGGTATTTTTGTTCTCTTTTTTATCCTCTTTTCAATATTTTTTCCATTTATTCTTTTCGCCTGGAATCTGTAATTGTCGATATATAAAATCAAAAGATTTTCTATTTTTTTCTACACATATTATACATTTACTATAGGATTTTCACATATCCCGTCGTCCCCCACCCTCCCTCACTCTTTCCCCGTCTCCATCGCCCATTCCTTCTTTCCTCCTTCCCAATATCCCTTCGTCCCCTACTTCTCCCTCCCTCTTTTCCTGTCCCATTCCCCCATTCCATCTTTCCTCCTTCCCAACATCCCTTCGTCCCCCACCCTCCCTCACTCTTTCCCCGTCTCCATCGCCCATTCCTTCTTCCCTCTATCCCCTTCCTCCCTTCTTCCTTTCACCCCTTCCTCCAACTCTCCCTACTTTCGTTTCCTCCCATCTTCACGTATTTGTTTGCCTCTCTGTTTTGTCTCTATTGTAGGACCATGGCTGGTGGCGCCGACACCGGTTTCAGGAGGGTTGGGCCCAAGGAATACAAGACCCGTCTTATGCACTTCCACGGCGATAAGAAGAGTGTGCAAGTGAAAGAGGTGGACCTCTCCAAACAGTCCCTGGATTCGAACGACGTGTACATCCTGGACGCCGGACTCAAACTGTACCTATGGCTCGGTAGAGACTGCAACAAGGATGAGAAATTTAGGGTGGGTTTTTGGGCTTGTGGGTATATGTGTGTATGGGGAGGGGGTGGGCGCGTGGGCGTGTGGGTATGTATGTGTATGGGGAGGGGGTTGTGTGTGGGCTTGTGTGGGTATATGTGTGTATGGGGAGGGGGTGTGTGGGCTTGTGGGTATATGTATGTTTGGGGAGGAGTGGGTGTGTGGGCCTATGGGTATATGTGTGTATGGGGAGGGGTGAGTGTGTGGGCTTGTGGGTATTTGTGTGTATGGGGAGGGGGTGGGTGCGTGGGCTTGTGGGTATGTATGTGTATGGGGAGGGGGTTATGTGTGGGCTTGTGGGTTATGTGTGGGCTTGTGGGTATGTGTGTGTATGGGGAGGGTGGTGTGTGCTGGCCTGTGGGTATATGTATGTATGGGGAGGGTGTGTGTGTGTGGGCTTGTGGGTATATGTGTGTATGGGAAAGGGTGTGTGTGGGCTTGTGGGTATATGTATGTATGTATGGGGAGGGTGTGCGTGTGTGTGGGCTTGTGGGTATATGTATATATGGGGAAGCGGTGCGATTGATAGATGACATGTTATTTTATTCTACGCATTATGGGGAACAAGGGAAAGGGTTTTTGTGTGCAGTGGATTTTGAGAAAGCTTGCGACTCTGTATCTCATAGATATTTATTTCAAATATTGAAATTGTTCGGTTTTGGAGATTCATTTTGCTCTTGGGTAAAATTATTGTATAAAGGGATAAGTAGTTGTGTTATGAACGGTGGTCACTCCACGGGGTATTTTTAAATAGAAAGGGGAGTAAGGCAAGGGGATCCATTATCGCCTTATTTGTTTTTGGTTGCCATCGAAATTTTGGCGCATGCAGTAAGGAGGGACAACGGTATTAAAGGGATTACATTTGGAAAATCTGAAATTAGGCAAGTGTTATATGCAGATGATATGACAATATTTTTGAAGGATATTGATTCGGTTAGAAGGTTGCAATATATTTTTGAATCATTTGAACAAATTAGTGGTCTTAAAGTGAATAAAACAAAGACACATTTTATGTGGATGGGTGAGGATGAGAACAAACCTGATGGGCCTTTATTTGGAAATTTGGTTAAGGAAATACATATTTTAGGGGTTAGTTATTCATTAGATCGAAGATTAAAAGATGATTTGAATTATAAAGAAATTCTAAGTAAAATAAAAAAAATTGCTTGTATGGTGGAAACAAAGAGATTTAACTATTATGGGTAAAATACATTTGCTAAAAACTTATGCGCTTTCAAAATTAAATTATATTTCATCTCTCGTTATTGTCCCTCATTGGGTTTATAAAGAAGTTGCAAAAATTTCATTTGAATTCATATGGAGGGGGAAAGATAGAATTAAACGGGCAATAATGCATCAGGATTATGACTTTGGAGGATTAAGAATGATTAATTTTGAAATGTCAGTTAAAATACAGCGCATGATGTGGATAAAACGTCTTTTATATGGAGAGAAAAGTTTGGGATGGAAATTGTTTTTTGATCATTGCTTACAGTTTGTGGGTGGTAGATTTATTTTTTTATGTGATTATGATTTAAAAAAGATTAAACTCGTTTTAGATATTCCACCATACTATATGGAAATGTTGCAAGCATGGCAAGAGACAATTAATTTAAGATATTTGGAGGGTTATATTAATCCAATTATTTTTAATAATCAGAATATATGTATAAATGGAAAAAGTATATTTGATAGATACTTGTTTGAAAGAGAGATTGTTCAACTGAATCATTTGGTTGAGAAAGGTCATGTTAAGTCTGTTAAATATTTTATGAACCTCGGTATGAAAGGTAATAATTTGCTTATGATTATTGATATTTATGATGCGATACCCAGGTTATGGAAGGATGATTCAGGGTTAATAGAATTCCTCGAGGTTGATTTGATAAGCTTTAATACTTATTTCCATATTTCTAGTAAAAAAATACAGTTTGTGGATGTGGGTTCAAGAACAATCTATGATTATTTTATCAAAGCACTGCAACAAACGTATGATTTGCAGGTAAGGGATGGGCAAAATTATTATGATTTTATAGATAAAGAATTAAAAGAAATATTTGTTAGACCAAGAATTACTATACTCATTAGAAAACAACGTGAATTTCAATTTAAATTATTGCATGGAGCCATATACACTAATGAGCATCTTCATAGATTTGGTTTTGTTGGTGATAATTTATGTTCGTTTTGTAAGCAGGAAATAGAAACATACAAACATTTATTTTTATCTTGTGGGAGCGTTCAAAGGATATGGCAGGCTTTAATACAACTTTTTGAGTTAGATGAAATTAAAGATTTAGAATGGCGAGATATATTTGTTGGGTTGGTAGGTAGTTCATATAGAATAAAAATGTGTAATACTATCATTTTCATGGTGAAGTATGTTACATTTATGTCAAGATCGGGGGGGGGGCGAGTACTAACTTTAGAAAAGATGAAAAAAAGCATTTTTAAGTATAGGGATGAGGAAAAGAAAATGGCAATTAAAATGGGTAAGCTAGGATCACATTTCTTAAAGTGGGAGCAGCTTAAGATTAATTAAGATTTGCTTTCTTCTCCACCGTGAGACCGTTAAAAGCGTAACTCGATTTTGCGGCCTGGATAACTTATTTAGTATATTTTTCTTTAGTTGAGAATGTTAGCAGACATCCACTGAGTGAGTACTGTGTGTGTGTGTGGGGGGGGGGTGGGTGGGTGGGTGAGTATGTGTGTGTGTGGGTGGGTGAGTATGTTTGTGTGATAGAGGGTGAGTATGTTTGTGTGATGGAGGGGGCAGGGAGGGGGCAGGATTGTTTCAGTAAAATTACCTCCAGATTTGTTTAAGTTTTTTTTTGTAATATATAAGTAAATAACATTTACAATTGACATATTATGTTTAGGTCCTTATACGTTTACTTTGTTGCTAAGTTATATTATACTGCAAATAAGTTTGTGTTTAATTATGTTTATGTAAAAGCATCAATATTGAACACGTATATTTTATTCAATTGTATGTCATGGTTTGTATTACACATCTGGAGAAATAAAACAAAATTGTTAAAAAAAAATAAAAAAATATGTGTGTATGGGGAGGGGGTGGGTGTGTGGGCCTGTAGGTATATGTGTGTATGGGAAGGGGGTGTTTGTGGGCTTGGGTATATGTGTGTGTGGGGGGAGGTGATGTGTGTGTGGGGGGGGGGGCTTGTGGGTGTATGTGTGTATGGTAAGGGGTGTGTGATTTTGGTTTTACAGACGTGTATCAATCAGGTATTATATCTGTCTGGGACCGACCTTTAATGTCACCATCCGAAAAAAGTGACTCGGGTTTCGAACCTGAGTCTTAGTCTGATCAGAGTCATTTTGCAGGAGTAGACAGAGAGCTGATCTTACCATTGAAATTATTCCTAGATCAAGTCACATCTTCCAAGATGATGTAGAAAGCTCATTTCAACTTTATGAGTCACGGCACCCTTTTGGGAAATAAAAAGTTGCACGTCGCCCAAATTCAAAATTTAACATAGATCTGGTTTTCATCTCTCTTACATATACACCTCTCCCTCAAAGTTTAATCCGGTTTCTAAGTTTTGTATGTGCAGGAATCCAGCGAGCAAATACGAATAACACTGTTATTATGATAAAGTGTTCTTTTGTCATCAATATACACTTGATAAAATATTCCATTATATATTGGGGCTACTCGATGACTGAATATGAGGATATTCGGTCTTGTTATTGCCAGGTATCGCTCTTCTGGGATTTGCTAACTAAGAGAAAAGACACTTTAGTGTGGTAAAAGTTTCATTTCAATATAGAACCATTTTATTCACGAATATACATATTGCATAAATGTAATCGTAACAATCTTACCCTTTGGATTTGACAGGCTATACAGTACATACAATCCATAAAGGGCGAGCGAGGGAGGGCTGAATCGGAAACACTGGATGAGGACGATTTATCGCCTAAACATGAATTCTACGACCGGCTTCCTGACACCGAGGTTATTAGGGAGGTTGCTGAGGATGACGATAGCCAGGTTGCTGTCCACAGGTAAGTCCACTGGCATTGTCACGGGGGCATGGGGGCACGTGTCCTTCATTCGAATGACAGAGGAGGAAAAGGTGAGGGGAGGGGATAGGAACATAGAAATATGTTATAACTCCTGCAAACCCCCCCCCCCCTTCCAATCAACAGCCTCAGTTTTGCATTTATCAAACCATAAGACTACAACGGCACTGGGCATGTGACGCCCCCCCCCCACCCCCCCCCCCCCCCACAGAATGATAAAAGAAGAGTAAAATAGGGAGATTGGAAAGGAAACATGAAAGAGAGAATGAAGGGGCACCCTCTTCCCTCTACACGCTCCCCTGATCAACAGCCTCGTGTAATACATCTGCATTTCATCAATCGCATAAGACTGCAACATGGTTAATTATGAATCAAAAGTCTTCCTGATTAAGAATGATCACTAGATATGAATATACAATTGTTGTTTGTTTTAGTCATCCAGTCAAAGATACAACCAAACTGACTCCCAGATGGTGGAATGTTATTACGTCACTACGATTATTTACCCCTCTTTGGTTTGTCTTGTTTCGTATGTAGTAATATTAGATTTTGTGTTCATTTGTTTGTAACATAATAATAATTGGCATTGTATACATCTGAAGCTTTTGTGATTTGTGATTTTATTCAGATTGGTGGAAATACATCTGAAATGAACTAAACTGTATTGATAACTCAAAAACAAAACCGTTCTTTGTCTTTTTTTAATTCCAAGATTGAGCGATGAGAGCGGACGAATGGAATTCGCTGTGGTCGCAGAGGGCGAGCTTCCGCGAGCATGTCTCGAAAGTGCGGTAGGTTTCCAATCTGTTCATATATATAATAAAACATGATTGCAAACACTTTCGAAAATTCAAAACCTGGACAATTTTAATGCTCTATGTTATATGCCATAGAAACTATGCTCTGGTTTAGCCTATAATCACGGTAAAATCCTGCTTTCGAGGTAGTAGCAATATTGTAGCACATTTTGATAGGTGATGGATGGACAAGGTGATTAAAATCGCCTCAGGTGGACTTTTCAGTATTAGTGATCGTGTTATAATCCCATACCAGAGCAAGGGGCTAAGAGGTGAAGCCACCCCCCTCCTCCCCTACATTAATAGATAGTGTTGAAAAGAAATAGGAAAGGCGGGAGAAGAGATCAGGAAAAGTAAATAATTGATGAGAGAGTAAAAGAGACGTGGATGGTAGTGATGTACTGAAGAATAAGACGAAATTGAAGGCAGTCCTGCTTTTCTCTCTTATTGTTCGTCTTCTTCTCCTTCTTCTTCTTCTTCTGCTCATTATCATTATTATTAATATTATTACTATTATTATTGTTGCTGTTATTTGTATTCATAATTTTTAACGACTTGTTTCCAATTTAGGATGTGTTCATTGTTGACAACAAACTGCATTGCTTCGTCTGGGTGGGGAAGGACGCCTCCATCGACGAGAGGAGAAATGCAATGACCTATGCACATGTGAGTTGATATTAGCTTTCTTGCATCAAAATAAATATTAAAAAGGGAAATTATTGCTCTAAAAATGTGACACGACATTTCTCCCGCGGCAATCGAGAATTGCTCCCCATACTTCGTCAAAAGTATAGAGTTGGAGTTGGGAATGCAATTAGGTTTTAGATTTTTTTTTAGGGGGTGTTGTCCAGGTAGGAAGGGGGCAGTATTTGCAGGAGAATGCGTGATAAAACCGTTTTGAACTAGCCACTATCCCAGTCTTTTCCAGGTGAATCATGAAAGGAATATTCTGTAATCTTTTAGTCTCATCAGCGCCTCTAATGAGGCACCTAGATATTGAGGGTCTACAAATTTCCAGGTCGGATTGGATTGGAATGGAATCTTTTCTGCGTATCGGCTAATTCCCTCCAGACACAGGGAGTGTTGCACAAAGACTATGCTCGACTTAAGTTGGGCTTGAACTATGGCAGGCTGTTCATGTAACTATCCCTGGCATTGGTTTCTCAAGGGACGGACACACAATTTATTTGACAGTTCATTATTGAAGGAAAAAATATATATCTAAAGATCATAATTGAGAGACCAATGGTGAGAGCAACCAGTGGCATGAATGGCCTGCCATAGTTCAAGTCCAGCTGAAGTCATCTTAGTCTTTGTGATGGAGTATTAGCACAGCCTTCATGGCGCAATCGAAATGACCCCTTGCATGCCTTCACTCACGTTACTGTCAAGAAAAGTCCAGGAAGACAGAGAAAATGAGATATCATTATCAGAAAGCCTATTGATTAAAGTTCCATTTCGAGACTATTAATTGCCCCCCCCCCTTCCCCCCTGTCATATTCTTGTACATTTTCCCGTTTTTTGTTTCATCATTCGACATGACCACTGACACATTCTTTTTTGGTACCAATGTTCAATGACCGCAAAGTATTTTCCATTGATTAGTTGTCTAATTTGTATACCTAAACATGTCAGGAGAGTGCATGCCTTTCTTCTTGAATAGATTTGCCGTGATATTTGATTTTTGTATTTATTCTCAATTCTTTCTGTTCAGAAATACCTAATGAAGACCAAGCACCCGCTCATTCCAGTTTCGGTCGTAGCAGAAGGCAAGGAGACAAAAGAATTCAATGAGGCCATGCAGTAAACATCAACATACACAAGAAGAAGAGCGTACCGTTGTTCAGTATCTCATTAACTATACCATGAGGTCTGTATTCTTCTAATTCACTTAAGTCCGACCATAGATCTAAAGACACGTTTAGCAAAAGAAACTTAGACCTCGGACTTAACTTTCTTTGTTAAACACGATTTTGATCACAACCCTAAAACCAAGTGTCTGGTTTAAATGTTACTAGAATACGGGCCTACTGTTGCGTTTATTGCTCAATTGCAAGACAGAATCAGTCTTTTGAAACACATTTATAAAAGATAGTTTTGAAACTTTAGCTCTTTTTCAAGAAAAATTAGCGCTTTCCCCTGGATTCGCACACAACACTGCGCCTGTTATTTTCAGGCGAACCAGAAGCGCGTTTCTTTAACGTCATATGAACGCGTTTACAAACGATGGTGAGTTTTTGAAACGCACCTTGAGCAAAATGTATGTTATTAATATAATGGGAATACGATATCAGTAAAAAGGTAAGCTCTGTTCCCCATTCTTAAATTGGTGGTAGAATGTTTTGACCAGAAATAGGGAATTACAAACTGACAATGAAAAAGTAAAAATCAAATACAATCAGATTTCGAACAAATATAATTATGCAACAGAATTACGTAATAATCGAAAAAGTGATTCATTTTTGTATTAAATAGAGGTGCTCCAACTTATATACACGTATATAGAATGTTTTGCATAAAGAATGTTTTGCATATCCATACATGCGTGTATAAATAATATTTTGTGTACAAGAATAATTTTTTATCTATAAGAATTTCGAAATGTTATAGAGTTGTAGACTTTCGCCATGTTCATATCTCTTGTAGTGACGAATCTTCTTAGCATAATTTTCTTTACTCTTCCCTAGCCCCCTTCTCTCTCTCTCTCTCTCTCTCTCTCTCTCTCTCTCACACACACTCTCTATCCCTCTCTCACACACTCTCTATCCCTCTCACACACACACTCTCTCTCTCACACACTCTCTATCCCTCTCTCTCTCTCTCTCTCTCTCACACACACTCTCTATCCCTCTCTCACACACTCTCTATCCCTCTCACACACACACTCTCTCTCTCACACACTCTCTATCCCTCTCTCTCTCTCTCTCTCTCTCACACACACTCTCTATCCCTCTCTCACACACTCTCTATCCCTCTCACACACACACTCTCTCTCTCACACACTCTCTATCCCTCTCTCTCTCTCTCTCTCTCTTACACACTCTCCCTCTCTCTCACACACCTAACATGCCTTTCTCGCACGATTTTCCCCCTCCATTTTAGATATAATCGTGTAGATTTGCAATTTATTGATAATCGGGTGTACTTTGAAATCGGGATTCTTGATTATTTTAGAAATTACTTTTATTTTATACTACAGTAACTTAGTTATTACGTCTTTTAGTATGATTGTTCCTATTTGATATGACTTGAAATGAAAAAATATTTATATACTTTATTGTGAAAATGAAATTTGTTGAATACCATTAGTTGGCATGAGCTCAGCCGAAGCTAGACAATATGTGACAATGTGTGATCACATTTTTTACACAGCCGTTTTTACTAAACACTATTTTGTTTATACTGTAGGAAATGTGAAATGCACTCCATGTGTTCATTAAAACATTAATAAATAACCTATAAATACAGAACCGGATATGAGATCAAAATCAAGAAACAGATACGTGGATTGAAAGATAAATATTCATTTTAATATAACTAAATGAATAAAATGCAACGTTTTGTTTGAATTATGCAGAATCTCATGTCGAATAGACAATCCATGTTTGTTATATATTCATAACAGTAACTCAATGTTTTTTTTTGCAGAAAATATACTTTTTATATTGAATAATTATTTGATAATCATGCCGTACAATATTGTCTAACAATATCCTACAAAATAGTACAATCTCGTTACAAAAAATAGAAATTATTATTTATTGCTCTATGACGAAGCAACGTCATGTATCGTGTATATGAGTTTTAAAACGGTTTCCGTATAAGTGAGAGAATAAAATAACTATTATTTTGAGTACTCAACTCGTGCACGTACGAAAGGCACTTTCGGTACTCTAATTGCAATATAGTCTAATTGCTATCTACGAATAGAGGGCTTTCTTTTTATATAAATGTGGACGATTTACGCGTATGAAATGTCTATTATATTATTATAAGCCATCATGCGCCTTAGTTATGAATCATAAAATAAATGTGGCACTTATTTTCGTGTCAAATAAAAATGGAACAAGGGATATAACTCACGACTGTGTCTGCCTTTTATTTACTTGTCATGTGTGGATATTCAATTCAATTCGCTTCTTTCAATTCTGTCAAACATATTAAAAATACATAGGTAAATACATGAAATACATATACATGAGTTTAAATCAATATAAAGTATAAGAAAGAATAAATTGTACAAATCAGTATAATGGGAATTAGGATGGCCATACATAATTAATTGGGGGTTTCGTCGAGACGGTCAACAGAACAAAGCATGCATGAAGTGTATCGTAATACTTGTTTGACAATAATAATTGGTGTAAAATATAACTTTATAATAGATATCATAACATACCAACAACAAAAAACACACACACACGAACAAACAAACAAAATATATAATACACCTACACAAACCCTACACAAGACACACAATGCACTATACCCAAATGTTTGAAAAACACGATTCAAATTTACTCAGTTGATAGAAATTTCTTCAATTTTCTTTTAAATGTGGTATAGAACTTTCAAAAGGAAAAAAAGCTCGTATTTTCACGTACCCTAGGAATTTCGTATAGTGCGACTATTTTATTTAGAAAGAGGCCTGCGTGTGATTTTTAAGGTGTTGGTATACGGACGTAATTTTCATGAGATACACGCTGTGCAAAGCACCGCTATGTTTACCATTTGAAAAGGCAATGTCGGATCAATGTTACCTATTCGGAATTAAACATTAGAAAATTGTCTGACCGCGTCCCCCCCCCCCCCTCCCCTCATTGCTAGGATTTATGCCGGTGAAGTTACATTATGAAATGGAGTGTTGCAGCAATAGTATCTCTACCTATACCTCTAAAAATACTGGGTAAAATAAATGCCATAATGGTAAATGAATATCCACCCATGGGTATTTATCTTGTACCCAACAAGGTTAAGATTTCGCCCTATTTTAAGTAATTATAATAAATATTGACCCTACCTGGACAATGTATTATTCAAATTGGGTAAAGAAAATGTCAAAAGTTAGCTGGACAGGTAATTAACATTTTGTTGGGCAAATTTATATCAAATGGTGGCTCAGTGTTTAGAGCGCCCGTCTCATGAACGGGAGGTCGTGGGTTCGAACCCCGGCTGAGTCATACCAAAGACTTATAATAATGGGACCTTCTGCCTTCTAGCTAGGCACTCAGCTATTGGATTGGAGAAGGGTAGTAATATAATAACATATTATGTTATGCACGGCCCGCTGGAAGAGCAGTTTCATAACTGAAGGGGCTACCCTGGGTAAATAAAACCTTATTATTATTTTATTTTATAAATATACTTTTAGGAACTCATCAGTCGAGATTCGTTGAGGATTCTACCGAAGTCACACCAACAAGATAAACATCATACCGACAACACACCGAACAAAATGAACGCTTTACGCCTATGGCCTTGAATCGGTCGGTTTGTGGTCGGTCTGGCGGTATTACCCAGGTCTTACCCTATGGATGCACATGGGAAGCGGTATGTGCAATCAGCACTTCAACCTCAGGATCTCGATCGATCATCATAACCTTTCTTGTGATGACGACCACGATTATTAAAATAGACTCACGTCAGAAATTAATATGCGGAAGGACTTGATGAGGTTCACTATTAGCTTCCAGTCGTCCATCAAGTACATTTCAATCATCTGGTTTCGTGAGCATTTTAGGAGCTTTTTGTTTTCGTTTGTTTTGTTTGTTTTCTGTGGAAAGACAGGAGATCATTAACATGCTAAGTGAATGCGGGGGTCAATAAACTTTTCCCCCAAAAGGAGTACTTCCTAATAGTTTTACGAGATGATTCTATAATTCTCTAGTCTGTATGATCTGTTTCTCTCCCTCTTCCGTCCCTCGTTTCTCCTCTTTATCACACCCGTCCCTATTCCCGATTCGCCTGCAACATCCACATCCAGTATACAAACCGCGCGCGCTCGCATATACACACAACTCACGCACACCAATTCTCAACCCACACACGCGCGCAGATCTATACACATTCCCTCCCCCATCTCTCTCTCTCTCTCTCTCTCTCTCTCTCTCTCTCTCTCTATCTCTCTTTCTTGCATTTATATCCATCTGCATCAACATCACACGCCTTCCTCGCTCCTAACGTCTTGAACCAAATCTTGAACTATTTTATAAGCTTCTCTTCGACAGACATAAGTGAAATTCGGTAAAGAAGAAAATAAATCTAAGGGTGATGGAGGGAAAGCTTGATTGGTCCAATTTAGGAGTTGCTCCTTGGTCAAAATTCGCTTGCGCTTGTAATGAGATTGTTAGTATTCTGTTTCTCAGGCATGTATGACAATTCAGCTCAAAAAATAAGAATGTCATCGTCTTGGTATGATTAACTGAAAGCAGTCTAGAAAGTGTAACAGCACATATGGTAATTGACTGATAATCATATCCATTATATTGAGCCGTATTATAATAATTACAATCTGTTTAAACATTAAGTCAATATAAGCCCTGATTTGAGACTTAGCATTTTCACAGTTCGCTTTTATCACATGGAGACGGGAAGAAACGATTAAAGATGTAATGTCTTTTTACATCATGTATAGAGACATATACATCTTTAATCGCTTGTGAGCAGCAAAGCCTTGGGAATAATTAGCACTAGAGTACCTCGACCTTGTGTTTTGAACTTCGCTTGAAGGAGGCTATCGTACTATAAAACACTCATATGAATACAAGCCTTGGCTCGATGGTTTGCATTGAATAGTGTTTGGATAGATAGACTAGACGCCACTGGTATGCGAGGAATGTGCGCCTAATGTCGCGCCCGGGTTTTTGGCGCTGGCCGCTTGCGATGTGTCTATCGTCTGTTCGTGTACATACGAGTCTGCTTGTTTGTAGAAGTTATTAGACCAGACGGGGCGTAGAAACTGGGCGCGGCTTGGAGGAGAACGGGCGAATTCACCACAGAAAGAAAGGTAAGTCGTTAAGATTATCGTTTTGTTATCATAATTCAGATTAAGTTAATGACCTGTGTCTTGATTAGCTTCGCTTAATTAGCTATGATATGATTATTTTGTTGATTAAAGTGTTTTCGTGGATGATATAGGCGAGATGAGCTGATGATGAGAGTAAGATGAATTGATGTGCTGATTCATATCAGTTAAAATAGAATATATTAGAGAGAGAGAGAGAGAGGGGGGGGGGGGAGGGGGGAGTCTACAGCATTGTTTATTTATAATTTGTATTGATACAAAATTATTCATTTTTAAAAGATATCCTCATACTTATCTGGGGGAGGGGGTTAATATTGAATTGTGAGTTTATGTTTGAAGCTAGTATTTGTATACGTTTAGTCCTCAAGCAATGCAACTAGTGAGAAACTTGCGCTCTTATTACGTGTTAGATGCTATATTATGAGAAGTATTCACCCTAATGATCAGAATGATATGTTTCTAGCTGAAATTGAATTAATGCTAACATTCTGAATGATGTGTACGTCATGGCTATATCAAATGATAGTGATCATATTAGTTATTTTGGAAGACCTCGGATTATCACAGGGTCGGCTTTAGGACGGGCCTGGCAAGGCTTATGATAATTGTGTAAAAATAAAGAAAGAGCATAAAAATTAATAATAAGTTAACATCTTCAGTAGATTCGGGACACATTCGTACCTCAAGCAGGAGTAAAGATGGAATGTATATTGGACAAGGAAGGGAAATTTTGATATAGAAGACGTAAAGAATTACAAGGAGAGGCAGTGAAGAGAAAGAGAGAGAGAGAGAGAGAGAGAGAGAGAGAGAGAGAGAAAGAAGGGGAAAGGGGGTAGTAGGGTTGGGGCATGGTGAGGTGGGGCCAAAGAGTAACTGTGAAGGCGAGAGAAAGAGTTATAGAGACAGAGACAGAGCCACAGAAACAAGAAGAGAAGGAAGGGATGAGTAAAGACGAGGCGTTCAGATTGGCGTTTAGATTCATCGCTGCTTATTTCCAACGCTACGCCCCTGATGTTGGTGTGGTTATTATTCTGCAGGATGGTATTCTGTCTATACTATTGATTGCTCTTGGTTTTTTAATCATTCACAACTTGCATGTTGTTTGTCCGATTTCCTTCAAAACCTGACCAAACCTGTTTCTTGTTTTTCTGCTTTCTATCAAAACAACTTGCTATCATGGTTAGATAGTACTCAGGACGATTGTTTGATACTATTGACCATAATTATGTTGCGTCTGATATAGACATTGACACATGTACGTGGAATGAAAGATGAATAAATAGACAAGGAGAGGCAGACGTCATTATGACAGGAGGTATAACTCATTTGCATTGTTGAGGGGCAACTTATCCAGTGCCCCCCTCGAGGATGGACACCCCTGGAGGAAAGGAAGACCGTATCGAAATTTTAAAGAAAGAAATAAGATATGAGGCGACTGATTAAACAAGACAATAATAGAACGAAGGCAATTTAATGAAAGATATTTCTCAAACGGAATGTTTCGACAATTTTAGAATGGCTTCATAAGCTGCTTTTGAGCATTCCTGTAAGTCTTACCTTCTAAACAGACCCAAATCAAGGACCGTGGGAGTAGGTACACCCCTTTCCACCCACAGACTGGTTGAAAACCAATCATTTAAAAAAAAAACATTCGCATCTCTTGAACTCTCGAACGGAACTAAGGAATTTTGATTTTTGCACCTCTGCACTTCACCACATAGCAGACGCCGTCGCGATGCTTTAAGCTTCTACCTCTCCTATACTGTATCTCTGCCAAGCCTATGCTAACCGCAAGCCCTCTTTCCCATCACATACCTGTCAGGATCTATTACGTCTGGGCTTAAGCCTACACGTCTGTAAAACTCGATAATTGATTCGTTGACTCATTCCTCACCCATCCCCCTCCTCCTCTCTCCCTCCCCTCCTCCTTATTCCCTCCTTCCCTCCTCCCCAACTATTCTTTCTCTCCCCTCTACTCCCCACTCCCCTGCCTGCCTCCTCCCCACCCACACTCCTCCTCCTCCTCTCCTCATCCTCTCCTCTTCTCCTCCTCTCTTCTCCTCATCCTCTCCTATCCTCACTCCTCATCCTCATCCGTCTCCTCCTCCTCTCTTCTCATCCTTTCCTCTCCTCACTCTCCTCCTCCTCCTCCTCCTCCTCCTCCTACTCCTCCTCCTTCTACTCCTCCTCCTCTCTTCTCATCCTTTCCTCTCCTCACTCTCCTCCTCCTCCTCCTCCTCCTCCTACTCCTCCTCCTTCTACTCCTCCTCCTCTCTTCTCATCCTTTCCTCTCCTCACTCACTCCTCATCCTTCTCAATTCTCCTCATCCTTTCCTCTCTTCTCCTCAATCTCTCCTCTGTTCTCTCATCATCCTCCCCTACCCTCCTCCTCATCCTCCTCTCTTCGCCTCCTCATCCTCCCCTATCATCCATCTCATCCTCCTCTTCTTCTCATCCTCCTCTTCTTCTCCTCTCCTCCTCCTCTTCCTATCCTCCTCCTCACCCTCATCTCTTCCTCCTCACCCTCTTATCTTCTCCTCTCCCTCATGAGGTTGGGTTCGACCGTAAGTAGGTGACAGCTGACGATTCTTCCTCTTGGCATCACGGAGATAATGATCTTTCCTGATGCGATCCGGAAGACGTTTACACATTATATTTAGAAGCGTATAAATACCACTTTGCAACATCTTTTGAAAATATTGATACTATCCAAATTATCGCCTCCATTTTATCATCGTGCTTCAAGACAGTATCATTGGAGTTTTGTAATCTAGGCAATTTTTGTTGTAATATACACGTTTAAATTCAATCAAAACATTACAGTAATAAGATTATAAGGGAAGTGACATTGATAAGGAAATCCTTTGAAGACATATATGTAACGCTAGTAAGTATAATATCCATTATATTTTAGAGTAACATGTATTTGTATTTGTAATTCTTTTTTTGCAAGACTTTCACATCTTCCCTAGATTGTAACATTAAAGATGTTTAGAAACCGTCTAAATCGTTCCTTTTTGGTTTCTTTAAAACAATGTTAACGCATCAAAGATCTTTCAAAATTCAATTTTTAGACTTCCAAATCTCATATCAATTGTGCCTTTAAGACCTTTCAAGTCGTGCATTTCACAAAATTGTATTCTTAATGGTGCATTGTACTCCCCAGTATAAGATTTAAAGACGTAATACTATCATAAACCATCTATGTGCATTTTTTAATTCACTGAAAGCGGTTAACTTCTCCAAATGAAAGCATTTCTTAACATTATACAAAGTGCATTAATTTTGTTTATCCGTTAATTTTGAAGAGTTCATTCTTTAAAAAAAATATATTATATTACTGTGATTGATATACATGGCTCCGTCCCTCTAATTTTAAAAACTAGTATAAAATGTTTTCCCTGTGGGGCCTATAACTCACAAACGTATAGCTTTCACCCCTAATTTTTTTTTTTTTTTTTTTATTTCATTCATTTATTTATTTTTATTTATTATTATTATTTTTTATTTTTTATTTTATTTTTTTTTTTTTTTTTTTTGGGGGGGGGGGGGGAAGGGGTCATGTTGATAATTCTAAAAGCTCACAGTTTACATCCATTTGCCTATATGCTACATAATTAACCTTTTCCAACGGTTCTTAGACAGTTTCTTTCACACTGTAATCGCTGGGCCTGTACTCAATCTTCAAGGATGCTGTTGTTGTGTGGGTGTGGGAGGTCGTACACACACACTGGAGTGCTGAAGGGCGCAGCTGCTACGGTGCGGTTCAATTTAACGTGACTGTGATAAACCTCACACGATACGGGATCATCTCAATCCGACCGACAGTAATTGACCTCGATGGAGAATGCTGGGGCTTGCTTCTAAGATAATTAGCAGACTACCTGGAAGTTGAAATGTAGCCCTTGTGCATCTGTTGATGTAGCGTATTGTCGTTGCCTGGATGAGATGAATAAACTATACTGCCAAAAATTGTCATGAAAAACATGGTGATATCGTATACAGAAAAAGATTCTGCTGCGACGCCAGATAGGTTAATGTTTGAGGGGGCGCATCAAAACAAAGAGAGACAGAGAGAGCAAGTTTTTTGTATTCCTAAAGCATAAGATTTTTCGTCAATGCCTTACAACACTGTCTCTACTTTTATGTTACAACTGTAGACTGGGGCTCGTGTTCTAATGTCGGGTTTAACTCAAACTCCAGTCTAAGTTTAATCAACGTTTAATCAAAACCTGACTTAGGCCGCTATTCCAGTCTATGTTGGGTTTACCTACATTTTTTTATTCTGAAAGTCCGGTTTACATCAAACCGGAGTTCAGAATTCGTGCTTGGGTGTTTTTAAATAATATTATTAGAGAATTAGAGGAGATAACTCATTATTAATTGAAGAGTCCAAACTCCATGTCACTTCCATTTAAAGAGATAGTTGAGTTTTGTTGCAGAGGGCGCTACAATTTTTTTTTTTTTAGTTGCCCCACAAAATATTCGATAATTTGAACCAGCCGTTGAAAAAACGAAATAGCGCCTTTCACGTTTTATTCCAGCCCAATGCCAATGTTGGCTTTCCATGTTTAGTTATAATACGCACAACCAATCTGCCCGTGTATTGCTATTATTAATTAATTAATTATTTAACGGCTCCTTTTTTTTAAAGTGAAGCTGAATTGGTATGATCGTATTAGCTGAATTTCACACATTATAGGGTCTAAAATTAGAACAGTTTTAGGTTCTAAAAGGATACTAGAAATGTCATAAATAAGAATAAGAGCAATAACCATGCACGTTGAAGGCATTCGCGGTCTGAAACAAGAACGCAACTATCCCTTTAAGCTGACGATCATCACGTACAATATTACCAAGCCACAATTGAAAATAGGAAAGTCTGTTCGGTCTCTCCCTGTTGTGCTCTGTACGTACACAGTGCTACCCAGTGTGATGATAACATTTCAATAACGATGACAGTAGGGTACCAAACATTTCTTTTACTTCAGTGCCAGAAGGGCGTTATCTATTTACAGCAAAGTTTGTGTCTGCCCTTCTTGTTCTGGAGGTAACGATATGAGATCAATCTCGCATTGACATTCCATTCTGAATTCCTAGTAAATCCATGAAGATCGAAGAGAGATCGTGTCGGAGTTCATCGTCAAATATGATATGACTGAACGGGAGAGAAGGGATATGACTATACTTTGGTTAAAAATAGAAAAATGAGGAAGATCCAAAAGAAATATTTTTCCGATTGGCCCATGTCTCTCGGGAGGGGGACAACTGTATTCAAACAAGGATTAAGAGAAAAGAATTGTAAAACGATTCGTCTTCTTCCTTTAGTAATTCAATGAACCGTCAAAGCTTACGCGCTATGCGCGGGCAGGGGAAAACTGAATTCAGACAAGGATTAAGAGTCGAGAATGGAACAACAAATCGTCTTCTTTCTCTAATAATTAATGAAAAGTCAAAGCTTCCGCGCTTTGCGCGTAATGAGGGGAGGGGACAGCGAGCTGCCCGAATATGAGTTTTTGATATTTTTTCTCGTTTATTTTGGTGATAAATAACACTTTCACAAATACATATTATGCTCAAATTGTTGCTCGCTCGCTTCGCTCACTAGCCGAATTGTGAAACCAGAAAATTACTTTTTCGGGCAAGAGGCTATAGCCCCCCTCCCCCCCCCCCCCCATGAAAATGTCAAAAATTGTACCGGTATGGTTTTTCTAATTTGACCTTGAAAAAACGATCTGCGCAATTTTCAAATTTCCGCCCCACCCCCCCCCCCCACCCCTATTGGAAAATCCTGATCCGCGCCTGAACTGATATATGGTAATGGTAGCAGATAAACAGACAAAAATAATGTTGAGTAACCAAACAATCAAAGAAAATAGGGGGAAATATATTTTGAAATAGGCAACGATAAAAGCCTTAAAACCTGAATTAACATAATTACGTTTGAGTTGAAAGGGTTAACAGCTTACCACACAGAAAAATATATATCACAAATTGGGAGGATTGAAAAGAAAGGGATAGATGGAGATAAAGAGAGAGAGAGAGAGAGAGAGAGAGAGAGAGAGAGAGAGAGAGAAGGAGAGAGAGAGATGCGATATCGTTATGGGATTTAGAAAAAACATACTAGGAAAAGAAGTGAAAAGAGAGAGGGAACTTTAGATATAGAGTTAGTAAGGGAGACAGATGGAGAAGTTGAAAGAAATAGAGAAAGAGATAACGGAGAGGGCTGACAGATATACCCACCCACAAACATATGATACGAAAGAAAAACATTTTGTCATCTGCAGCTGTATACCGGTTTTCCTCAAATAAATTGATTCCACAGAAGTGAGTTAACATCCAAAAAAGAGAGCAATATGTCAAATCAATCAAATTATGCATACCAATGGTATTCCGTGAATATTATAAGCGAAATAATGCAACTGTTGTCCTCCCCGAGTCGAAATATTTGAACATTACTTGTAATGGTGTTGGATGTGATTGTGTAGTGCCAAGAGTAGATAGTAGTACTGATATTCAGTTGTGATAAGTATGAATAACTGAAAAGTAAATTGATCTCCCACGGGATCTCAAATTCTCTCTCTCTCTCTCTCTCTCTCTCTCTCTCTCTCTCTCTCTCTCTCTCTCTCTCTCTCTCTCTCTCTCTCTCTAATAGGTAAAATCTGTTCTACTTATCACGTCTATCGACTTGTTCGTTCCTTCTCAATGCGTATGTGTTGCTTAAATGCCTCCTTCGAACCCCCTCCGCTGTAAAGTTGGATAAAAATTCATCAAAATAGCAGTATGTTAAACTTGAAAGAGATGCCCAAATCAACTTCTCATTAACTACCCCCCCCCCCCCCCCCCCCTCACCCAAGAAGAATGCGGCTGGGGGTTGAGGCTAGGAAAGCCAGAGAAAACAAATTACATTTTCATCAATTTTAAGTGGAAAACAAGCTGCAATGCCATACACGAGAACAGCGCATGGACAATATTTTCATATTACCACTTATTCGGCCCCAGAAGGTTTGGCGACCGATGGCTATATAAGGAAAGAACAGCGATTGCATGGATTCTTGCTGCCGGGCTCACGATCAATTGGGCAAAAAGAATTTCCGTTTCGGTTTAATACAATTTGGAGTGGACTATTAGGCTATTATTATTATTATTATTATTATTATATAAAGAACCAGCAACGTGCGCTGCCGCTGAGGGAGGTAAAACAAACAGCTGGGTTTATTAATGTTAAGAGTTAAGTTGCGGGGGGTGTTCACCCTTTTTCATTACATCGTGAATGTCCTTTATGGCTTTTTCCCATTGTTGTTTACAGTGTAATAAGTAGTAAGTTTACAGCCCATTTCCTCAATGATAAGCACATCTTGATTACGAAGAATGTTATTTTCTCATAAAAAGCAAAACTTCAACTCTTTAATATCATACTGTGCCCCTTTCATTTGAATCACTCTCAGGCCTCAGATGTGTTAACTATGAACAGAACCAGGCGCGTACACAGGGGGGGGGGGGTTTAAACCCCTCCTTTGGTAATTTTTTTGTGTAAACCCCCCCCCTAAATTTGTCTAAACCCCCCCCCCCTTTTGGATTTTTTTTTGGATTTTTTTTTTTTTTTTATTTAAAAAAATAAATATTTCCCATGGTTGACCTAAAAAGCTGACCTCACCCCCCCCCCCCCCACGGAGCAAAATGTCAAATTTTCAAATCTCGAGACCAAAAAAAAAAAAAAAGTGACCTCTTACCCCCCCCCCCCCCCCCCCCCCCCCCCCCCCCGCTTAGTCAGCGGTTGGCTGAGTCGTTGCGAAATTTTCGGCCCGATTTATAAATGTTAAAACCCACCCCCCCCCCCCCCCCCCCCCCTTGAAAAAATCCTGCGTACGCGCCTGAACAGAACTATGCACAAAATCTTTCCAATGTCTTAATTCCAGCGAAATATCTGTAATAGTCTACTTTCGATCTTAATTAAACGGTCTTATTTTGATCGTGCGGTATTATTTTGGATAAGATTATACAAGTGTAATAAAATTGTTCTTGAGAAATCTGCAAAACGGACAAGCAATTAAGAGACACTACAAAGGATACATTGTACATTCTTCCCCGCTTTGGTCTATACAAGTTTCGCATAGGCTGGTGTTCATTTACATAAGTTTAGGGAACTAATGAAAACCTTCGATTGCTAATGGTAATGGTGACCCCATTTAAACGCGTTTACAAAATTAATGATTGTGCGTTTATGCTTCCCCAGAATCGCCGATCAAAAACGCACCTTTTTGTGAGTTTATAATCGGTGATTACGATCGCCGTTTTTCTGTGATTCTACAAAAATGAAAAAGGACGCAACCGTGTTTTGAACTAAACGCGTAACAAATGCCTTTTTCTGGCCAGAAAAAGTTGATCATAAACGTACCCTAGGGAGTTTTTCCTCTCATCTACATACCATTCCTCGCATAACGTAAAGGATGATAGACTTTTACTTTTATTCGGGGAGGGTAAAAAGTGCCCAGCTTGAGGGTAGTCAATGGCAGATCTACGGAAATGGCGAAAGGGGTCAACACCCGCCACCCTTTGAGAAGAACAGTTTCACAAAGACTAAGATCGACTTTAAGTTGGATTTAGCTATGGCAGGCTATACATGCCACTGGTTGCTCTCACCATTGGTCTCTCAAGTATGATCTCTAGATAATATTTTTTCCTTCAATAATGAACTATCAAAAAATGTATATTCTGTAGATTTGTGACCATGATTTGTATGTCCCTTGAGAAACCAATGCCAGGAATAGTTAGAGGAACTAGTGGCATGAACAGCCTGCCATAGTTAAGTCTAACTTAAAGTCGATCATAGTCTTTATGAAACACTTCTAAGGTTTGATTTCTTTAATATTTTGCCAGCTTTCCGCAATTTAATCATGATTATAGGGGTGGGAAACTAATTATGTCCCATATTGTCTTAGACCCTCGATTTTTTTTGTTATAAATACCTTGAAAGACTAACGCGTCAATCTGCCAACAAGGTTTTGGCCTACATTGAGTCGTTGCCTCAAAAATCATGTATTTGAAACAAATCTATTTAAAATGAAGGTATTGTCTTTCATTAGAATTTTCAATTTGATGGAAATAAATGTCAATCTTGTATTTTGCCAGATAAAAGAAACTGAACAACATGGCTGAAGTGCCTGTCAGAGGACTTCGCAAGGCGAAGGAGTATGACTGGAAGGACTCGAACCTCGCACTCTTCGGATCGGATGTCGAGAAGAACATCAAGAAAGAGTCGGCTAAAACCGAACCGGCTTGGGAGAATGCCGGGTCAAAGGTCGGCCTGGAGATTTGGAGGATCGTCAAGTTCAAGGTCAAGCGTTGGCCCAAGGAGGAGAAGGGTTCCTTCTTCAGCGGGGATTCCTATATCATCCTCAATACATACGTGAGTGATCCACAACTTCTTTAATAACTTCACAATAATCCTTTCTTTCCGCTTCTAATATTGGTCTGCCTCGCTGAACCCAGTTTCCTCTTGTCACTTTTTTTTTTTTTTTTTTTTTTGGGGGGGGGGGTTGCATATTTCTCATTTATATTCACCTTTCGATCGCGAGCTCTCTCTTTCTCTCCTCTCTCTCTCTCTCTCTCTCTCTCTCTCTCTCTCTCTCTCTATATATATATATATATTATATTTACCCTATTACTAATCAATATTACTCTATATCCCTCTGTCTCTCTTTGTGTGGCTAAATCTCACCCTCGATTTTCCCCGTCTCTCTCTCTCTCTCTCTCTCTCTCTCTCTATTTAAAAAAAAATCTTGTTTCTCCTTTTCCTTTCCACCATTTCTTTTGCTAAATCTTTGTGCGCAACTGCAGATTTGCAGATATTTTAATAATTGTTCTTTCCATCTTAGTAACTTCTAAAACTGCAGTGAGGCACTTATTAGCTATGCATTATATTTTTCTTAATCCTTCATTCTTTCGAGAATCATACGGAATTCATCTAAATATTTCATATTTTTTTGTATTATTCTTCTTCCCAGAAAAAGCCCGATTCGAAGAGCGAGGAGCTTCTCTATGATGTTCACTTCTGGATCGGCAAACACTCCACTCAGGTAAGACATGCCCCCTCCCCCTTCCCCTCCCCCAACCTGGTCAACCACCACCCCCTCCCCCGCCTTGATCCGCCCCTGTTTAGATGTTAGATGTATTCATTTAGCCATTAGCATTAATAGGACCAATATTTCCTAGAAGATTTAAAGTACTGTTTTCGTGGATCCGCCCATTATAGAGGGAGATGGCATAGAGTTTGCTGCCAAGACGGTGATCCGATAATAATTGCTCCAGTCTCTTTATTTCGTCAAAATATAGGGTTAGGCTTGGAGTTGATATCAGATTTTAAAATTTAAGTTTGGTAATGTCTTGTGTTCACGTAAAGAACCGGTTTAGTTTAGAATTGTTAACTGCGGAGCATTTTTCGTCGGAATATATGTCGTACGACCAAAAGACAGTTGAATCGAATGAGTAACTTCTATCATATACCTTTCATCTTACAGGATGAGTACGGGACCGCAGCCTATAAGACCGTCGAGCTCGATCACTTCCTCGACGACAAGCCCGTCCAGCACAGGGAGGTCATGGATTACGAGTCCGATCTCTTCAAAACCTACTTCGACACCATCACGTAAGATTTCACAAGACTTTTAGAATGTTCATTGAGGCGATTCAAAAATAATAATACTGCATGCCTACCTAGCAAATTAAATCATGGTAACTTAAATGAAATTAACGAAAACCAGACAATTGAAAAGCTCATTCGCTCCCTTTACGATCTCCAGTGTTAAATATTCAAAGATGTATTTGCAAATTCATAATAAGTACAAATATTTAGACCTCGGGATCTTTCATAGGAAGAAAAATCAGTATATTTCATTTAGGGATATGTTCCGCTGAGACTACGTCAGCAGGGGAGTGTTTTAACTCTAAGTTGGACTTAAACATTATGTAGAGCCATTTGTAGCCTTAAAATTAAATATATTCAAAAGCAAGAAAAAAAGAAGTATTTTAGACTTTTCATAAATTCCACATGGAGAACATGAAATTTCCTTGATAATATAAAATATGAATGATTTGAATTAACATGTTATGCCTTTTGAAATAACTTTTAAAAAATATTTCAAAGACTTTAACGGCTTTCCATAATTTTTAAGTCCAACTTAGGGATAAGTTCAATTTAGAATCTTTGTGAAACACCCCCCCCCCCCCGGTTTCACCTAATCCCTCACCTACATTGTATTTATATGTCTTGGAGAAGAGTGTTATTATTTCGTTCTTGTTGTAATGGTTACAGGTTGATGGAAGGTGGAGCTGACTCTGGTTTCCGTCACGTGGATCCCAAGAAGTACGAGCCACGTCTACTCCATTTCAAAGGAGACCGCAAACGCGTCAACTTGCACGAGGTATGCTGACATATCAGCTAACACTTTCCCAAATGGACTAGTACTCCTCTGCACACGAAGCGTCATTCCGATTGAGTTATAACCTGAGCTAATCAATTTGTGAAAGCAATCGTTGCATACATCAGTGCATTAAACAATTTATTTACTGTATATCTTACCCAGACGTGTGTCCGAAAAGTTGATTTAAACGGTAATTTAAAGAAATTGACATGCAATGTTTCATACATTTTGTAAGACTTATGTTAGACAGTGCTATACAAGCTTAATTATTGTTATGATAGTAAGTGCTATTTGATGCGTACAATGTGTTAAATCCAAAAACAACAGTAACATCTTTATTTTAGTTAATATACGTCCGGGCACACAATCCCCTTCATCAATTTTGCATTATGTGTACGATTCCATTTCCAAAACATCAATGACTACGATAGTCGTTGATGCAGTCCTAGTACTGCAAGTAAATGACGTCTAGTTTTCAACGGGCAGTAGATCATTCATAATCATTCCTCCGTAACCTGAAAACAGACAGTTCAGCTATTACCTTTTAATAAACCAAAATTATTTGATTCTATTTTCTTCTTCTTCTTTATATCTTTTTTTTGTCACCAGTTTTGGTAATCTAATGATTTTTTTCTCGCTAAGGCACTTTTTGTATTTGATGGCAAATTGACATTTAAGGACATTTAATTTGTTATATCTAGTCGGCAAAACTGTTAGCGTATTTTGTCAGACACTTTCCCGCCCTTCATTTGAATTTTCAATCAGTGGCCCCTGATCATATCAAAGTGCCCCTCAAGATAACAAAAAAGTGCCCCTCCATATTATGATATCTTCTTCTCTTTTTTCAGCGCCCGATGTCTAGGAAGTCTCTGAAAAGTGGTGATGTCTTCATTCTGGATCTGGGTCTTAAGCTCTACCAGTGGAACGGATCTAAGAGCAACAAGGATGAACGAACAAAGGTAAGCTCGACCCCACCCCACCCCACCCCACCCCACCCCACCCTCTCCCCACACCTCTTTTACAATTATTTTGGACTCTAAAAGTTGTATGGGCCACCAATTCAATAACGCAAGGTCAACTAAATTCAAGGATTTTGCGTTTTGGGCGGATTTATGAACCATCGAATCCCTTATATCATCAATGTACGCATTCGTCGGTTCATAATAATGACGACGAACTACATAAATAACTTATTAGGACATTCGTCTGAAGTTCCCCTAACAAAATGGGTTGATATTATATTGCCCGAATTCGACTTTTCGATAATCTTAAGTAATAATACATGTAATAAGTGTTTCTTATAAAGCGCTATACCACATACCACTGCAAAAAAGAGGATGCTTACAGTATTATTATTATTACTCCGGTCTCTAGATTCAATTCCGAAAATCACAGTACACATTCTCCGCTTCCTGGGGATCCTTCTATCTAGTTGCCTTTTTACAAGGGCGCGCATATGCTACCCCAATCAAATTCACCTTCGCATCCTACCGAAGAGGAGAGAAGCAATGGAGATAAAATGCCTTGTTCGAGGACATTCATGACTAACATGAGCACCGTGCCGGGGCTCGAACTCCGACCTTTGCATTCCCAGTCACGTGATTAAACTACTCTTGTCGTGGTCGAGTGGTTACGTCGCATGACTTGTTAATCACAAGGTCCGCGGTTTGAGTACCGCCATGGCACTAATGTCCTTTGGCAAGACATTCATCGTAATTTGCAGCACTCAACCGAGGTGATGTAAATTGGTACCTGGCAGGAATTAATTCCTTGTAATTATAGAGCGCCGTAATGGCAGCACAACTATAGCCCGGGTAATAATTTCCAAGTTTGGAAGCGCTAAAAAGACTTAATTAATTGTAATTCGTGCTATATCAAAGCTGATTATTATTACATCTTCTGTTGTCTCTTTGTACAGGCTGTTCAGTACCTCTCCCAACTCAAGGAGATCCGTGGTAAGGCCAAGAGCGAAACCGTGGATGAAAACCGTCTTAGTGATGCTCATCCCTTCTTTACACACCTCCCCGACGTACCCGTAGACGAAGTGGATTGCGTTCCCGTGGATAACTCCCTGCCGACAATGTTCAGGTGAGTCGTTGAGTGATTAGGGTTCGAATCTTGACGGGGCTTTTCTTTCTCTTTCTGTTGTGTAATTACAAGTTAAGATTGTTATTAATTTCATATAATGATGATGATGATGATGATGATGATGATGATGATGGTGATGGTGATGAAGATAGTGATGATGATGGTGATGATGATGATGATGATGATGATGGTGATGATGATGATGATGATGGTGACGATGAAGATGATGATGAAGATGGTGATGGTGATGATGATGATGATGATGATGATAATGGTGATAATGCTGATGAAGATGGTGATGATGATGGTGATGATGATGATGATAATGATAATAATAATACTAATAATGATGATAATAACAATAATATTCAATAATGTAATTTTTCTTGCACAAAAATGTTTCTTAGCTACCCGGGTATTTTAAATATCTGGGTGGCCCAGCCCCTCAGCCCCTCAGCCCCTCTGCATTTGATAAAATTGTTATTTAAATGTTTTCATTGATGCTCATTCAAATTTTGCAGGCTCCAGAATACTGGCCAGCTGACATTCACAAAGGTTGCTGAGGGAATCCCATTGAAGAAAGAAAAACTTGACTCCAACGTAAGCTGGTTTTTATTTGATTTCCTTTTGGCGTGATTGGCCAGAATCTAACGCCCGTTACACATGACGCATCCTCTCCGCTGCGTTGTTTCCTGCGCTAATACAACCTATGAATGCAATCCGTGGATAACGCCATTGCTACGCCATTGCTACGCCAGTGCTACGCCAGTTAGTAGATATAATCTACGCATGGGCCAATAAAGATAAAACATGTACCAAAATTGTGAAACCCATCGTGACGAAAACTGGATAAGTGCTCGTGAAAGTTACTCAACGACGGCACATTCTATAATACACATAAAATATTCTTCTCAAGAGGGCAAGCAATATGTATTTATAAAGCACCTCCATTACTTTGGCAGTGATTATTTTAAAATGCACAAAATGAGACGTCTCCGTGTGTAAAAGATCTGTGGAAATTTGGGGTCATTTGTACCATTTATAGGTCATTTGATCTTTCAGCAGTTATCGATCCAAATACTTTTCTATTCTTAAAGGATGTTATTAAACCCTGGAGAGAACATGCACTATATTCAGAATGCCCATTTCAACATGTCCAAGAGACATCAATGATGATATTACATTTCTGGAGGTTTTGGGAAAACTGAGAGGGCCAAAGCAGCACGACGAGACCGACCACGAGACCGGCAGCAGACCAAACAACATTAGTTTAACCGTAATGGCCAAGAATGGAACGGTTTAGAATCAAATCGAATTTAGTTGTGTGGTGTGACTGAAAAATTATCCAAGATATACTTTCACAAAATACAATTATTATCTTGCAACCTTTCTTTATGTTGTTTATCCATGCGATACACTCCATTGCTACTATGTTGCAGTCCTCTTCTTTTCCTCTCTTCTATTTTCTTTCTCCAAGCTCTCTATCCTCCTCTCCTCTTCTCCTCCTCTTCTCCTCCTCTCCTTGCCTATCCCTATCTTCCTTTCTTCCTTTCTTCTATTTATAATGTATATTATGTATTTGTGTATTCGGGCGTACCCATTACAAGCTTTGCTTATCGGGTTTCGCGCCTTCTTCCTTGTAATACAAGTTCTTTAATTCTATTCATGTTTCTACGTATAAATTGTATTGTTTGAAAAGATGTCAAATAATGTTGTCAAATTGAATGGAAGAAAATAAATAAATGTTCATTTGAATTGAATTGAATTGAATTGATTTGCATTGTTTTTTTTCCTAATCTTTTTTAGGATGTGTTCATCGTTGATACACGCAAGGATTGCTTCGTATGGATTGGAAAGGGTGCTGACCAGGTCGAACGCCGTAATGCATTTGGCTACGCCCATGTAAGTCATTTTTGTAGACTGCCTATTTTCCTTTATAACGCACAACTCAATGCTTTACATTCACTAAGTGATACACGTCTTGTGTGGTTTAAACGGTTGTTAGTCACTTGCTCCGGCGACAATGCTCCTTTGTCAATATCCCACACTAACTGAATTCTGGACTTCGATCCTGGACTAAACACCACACCTAGCCCAAACCTTAATTTGAACTGAAAGCCAATTGCACCCCTAACCCTAACCCTTTAATACGTTTGACAAAATAAAGGCAAGATCAATTGTCGCTAGAGGAACTGCGGAGCACCTGTAAGGAATAAATGTGGAGGTGTCGTGGTATAGTGCGTCACATTCCAAGTGTCAAGGGTTCGAATCCCAGCCCGGCACTAACGTCATTGGGCAAGACATCAAACCACTTTTGCCACACTCTAACCTGGTGTGAGCGATATGCCAGAGCGCTAGATATTTGGCCGCTAGCTATAACTGGGGTGATAATGTTGTGGTGCCGGTAGTACTATTTTGCTTGTGTAAAAAAGTGGATATTCTGTAAATGATCACTACGACTGTTTGTCTGATATTACCATTTTGGACGACTACATCCTCAGTCACACTTAAAGACCGTACAACATACTACATTGCCTCAGAAGGCTAAGTTGTCATCCATTGATTTGGTGTCGTTGTGGAGTCCGTTTGGCGCTGTGACCAAAGAGATATACCATATCCTCCTTACTGTTACTGAGGTATCAAAGCTCTGCTTGTAAGTTATAGTCCATAATATTGAAATCAATGCTTTTCTTCGTTTTGAATCTTCTCAGTTCTTCCTTTTCTTTTTCTCCCCCTCCTTCTTCTCCTTCTTGTTCTTTTTCACATTCTTCTCCTTTCCTTTCTTCTCCTCCCCATTCTTGTTCTTCTTCTTTCTCTTCTACTTAATCTTCTTCTCCTCCTCCTTCCTCTTTCGTCTTCTTCTCCTCATCCTTCTTCTTCTGCTCCTCCTCCTTCTTCTATTTCTTCTCCTTCTTCTTCCTCTCCTTCAAACCCTTATCATTGTCCTTCTACCTTAGAATTGCATCTTTCTATTACTCTTCGTATTATTTTCATTTTTTCTTCAGAACTACTTGATGAAGTGTCCACATCCCTTCATCCCTATCACCGCAATTCAGGAGGGGCAGACCAACGCCGCATTCGAGGCCGCCCTCGCTTAAATTATGCTCACAGTCATGGCGTAGCGTGGCGTAGCGTAGCGTAGCATCAGTATTTTCCTCGTGAATTATTCAAAAAGGGCTGAGTTACCCTTCTTAAATAATTTACGTTTTTAAGATGTATTACTCGTTCTATTTTGCAGCTCAATCAGTTAAAGATAACACTCATTTCAAAGTAATGTTTTTTCATGCTACTGGAAAAGACTCCTTGCTTTCAATTTAAGATAGGTAAGGGTGATAAGAAATTGCAATTAAACAAAGCAGTCAAAGATGTAAGAAAAGGATATTAAGGAAGACTGAGAAAAAGAAAGATAATGGAACGGAAATTGAGAGAAATGAAAACAAATAAAAGATTGGTTATGATAATGGAATGAAGATGCAAACAAAACGAAGAAGAAGAAGAAGAAGAATTAAAAGAATACGAAGAAGAAGGATGTAACGAAAGGGAGTTCGACAAATGTGTGGAAAATGAAGAGAGAAAGCAAGTCCAACAGATGAAGGGCTGAAAATTAAGAGGAAACAAAGAAGGACAACACATTAAATCTCGTATCATCTTTCAGAAATCTCACAACTATATATTTTTTCTTTTTCTATACTGTTTTTTGAATAAAACCACTTACGCTACGTCACTTAAATCCTGTCTAATTAAGTACAGTGACCTTATCATTTGTATTTTTACTACTTTGTTCAATATATATGTTTATGTTAGGAGTAGTGCAACTTTTTGTTATTTAACATTCTTGACTTTTAATGGAAATTTATTTAGTGTACAATATACGACTGTATGTGAAGATTTTGTAGATTCACATTTAATAATTTTTAGATGATTATAGAGGAAAGTGTTGCAATAGAAGGGTTTACCCAAACGCAGTTTGGTTAAAGCCAGGGTAATGTAGGAATTCCGTAGGCTCCTTGAAGATGCGTATTGTAAATACAGGTATTTTCATATTGATATCATTGTTATAATACATCTTATGCAAATTTTACCTCGAATTTGATGCCTTCTAGATAAGATTTTACGGTGATTCTATGACTGCAATAAATAATGATTCGTTCATTCATACCGAACGCGAGGTTTTTTAATTAGCAAACTAATGCGCGTGGCTAAGTCAGGGTGTAAATGGTTATCTAAATTCACTTTATGTTTGAACGTTATTACAAGCAAAGAAAATTGGGCGTTTGAGTATCGTTTACTTATCTGCCATGGATATGGGTCAACAGATTTGACGAGCCTAAACATCAGGCATTATCTTGCATATAACTAGCAAGTAAAATAGAACATAATTTGTTAGACCTCCTTTTACAAGAGGACATGTTCTCTTGCCTCCTCCCAGGATCCGTCACAGTATAATAAACTGATAGTTCATATAGTTCATAGGTGTACCTGTAGATTAAAATTAATTGTTGTCATTTTACATCAACGTATCTAAGGTAAACACGTCTATGAGTTTTCTTTTCGAGTCCTGTATTATGTTTATTGGATGGGATCGTGGAGTTAAATGTTGTTTGCTTGTAAGTTCATATGTTTGGTTGTTTATGTTTTGTAAGTTTGTTTGTAAGTTTGGATCTTGGACGTCGCTAAATAATTTTGAATGAAGGGTTGTCATCAGATTAAAAAAATTTCGGACAAACATTTCATTTTTTTTAAACAAGCGAGCTCATGTTCCAGAGCTTAAATTTCACTGATAAGTTTATGCTGATGAATCTCAAATAAAGCAAGGTTAGAAGTTCCTAAAGGAGGACAATCTATCTATACAGATTAGTCCTGCCGAACAAATAACCCCGACCTGTAATTATCTCTCGGAGCAAAGTGAAGACGAAATGATAGCCGAGTGTACTTGGTCATAGACAAACTAGAAAAACCATGAAAAGCACATGATCCCCAAGACCAATTCTGTGTATTACCTTGAGCTCTACAACCCTGCTGATGCTAGGGGCTTTAACATATTAATATCAATCATGCTCTTTCTTATCAAGCCACGCTTTTCGCCTTCAGATTCTCAAATATCTTGGTTGGATTAAGAGCTATAGGGGGCGCACATAGAGATGCTACTTGGATCAAACGTATTGCTTCCGTTTCACAGGCTGAATCAAACAAAAAACAATTAACCCTTAATGTGCCAATGGTGCAATTTTACACAAACTATAAACATATGATGATGATAATAATAATAATAATCTTTTAAAGTCCACTCCAAATTTTATTAAGTTAAACCGAAAATGGAAATTCTTTTTGCCCAATTGATCGTGAACGCCAAACAAGGTAGCAGCAACCTCCGTCTTTTCTTTACTGGCAGACCTCTTGTAATGGTGATTCTTATTTGATGAATGGAGCACCTAACACTAACCATAAGGCCGGCCTGTGCCCCCTTTCAAAACCCAGTCATGCATAATTATATAACTTAGATAAACAAAATGTGTCCCTAGTTCTGTGACGTCATCACGGCAGTGAGTAAAGCAATTACCAACTTGCGCAATCATTATGTAACACAACCATTGACAACCCACCGTCGTTGTCATTCAAACTCACCAATTTATGGCCCGGTCCCACTGGCCGATGGACACAAAACGTATGCATAAAGGACACAGCGGACAAGCAAAATTTCGCGGGTGGCTCCATCCGTTTTCATCCGCTCCAGAAATGGACAAAATTTCCAAAAATTTGCGAAAACAGAACGGAAAATAACGGACGTGGGTAGTACTATGTAGCGGGGATGTTAAACGGATGTTCATCGGAAGCCTATCGGATGAAAGCGGATGTAAGTGGATGACAGCTTTCAATACTTTACATACGAGATGCATACGCTTACATCCTTTCTATTTCCGTGCTACTAACGATGTATAGACGTTCCATGTACCTTATCTTTCCTCCCTCTTTCCATTTTCAGCTGCAGCGGATGTGAGTTGCGAGGATGCCCAGAGGATGCAGAGAGGATACAGCGGACGTTTAACGGATGATAACGGACATAGAACGTTTGTTGCTCGTATTTGTCGCGGATTTACATCGTACACGGTGGAAGTTCATCCGTTCTAAAAGTTTTGTGCAGCTCAAAACTTTTTGCGCGGATGAAATCACAGTGGACGGATGCTCGATGGATAGAGCGTATGAAACACGTATGCAATGAGTACACAACGGATGCATAGCGTTTTCCACCGGTTTTCCAACGGATGGCAAGATTTTTTTACGTTTTACATCCTCTTTGCATCCGTAAGTGCAGTGGGACCGGGCCTTTACAAAGAAGTAGTTGCGCAATTCAGAACGGAAATCGCTTGTCTTTTTTGAAAACTTTTGGCACAGTGGAATAACAAACTATATTGAATTTTGCACGGTAATAGCTCAATTCAAAATATCCTCCAAATAAATCTGCTAAGCATTGTTTCATTGTATTTTTTGTTGTTGCTGTAATCAATGCCTAAGAGATATGTGGGATTAATTAGATAGGTAGATTGATTCATTGATTTATTTGTTGGTTAGTTGATTGATTGATTGATAGAGAGATAGATTAATTGGTTGATTAGATGAATGAATGAATGAATGATGGATTGATTAATTGATTGATTGATTCAGTGAGGGAGTGGTTGGGTGATCGAGTAAGTATATATAAAAACACTGGCCATTTTTTAGTGGTTTGTTGATTATCAAGAACATGAATGATTGGTGATTATTGTATTGATCAGTTGATTGACGTATATTGATTGATTGTTTATTAATTGAAAGCTGTTTGATTAGCTGATTTGTTGATTAAACATGAATTATTGATGATTATATTTAAACACATCGACTGTACGATTGATTAAGCATGTTATGAGTCTTTTGAGTGCAATGACGGTTATAATTAGGTTGATTAGTTGATTGATTGAAAATAATTGATTGATCAGTTGTTGACTGATTGGAGGAAGTGAGTTATTGTATGATGATTGACTTATTGATTGTATTTTGATTGAAGGATCATTTGATTTATAACAAGAATAAGAAGCAGTTTTAAGACTCATTGGGCATACTATCTTTTGTACACAAGTCCAAATAAGGCCGATGCCACATGCAATGTGACACAAGTGCCCCCCCCCCCCAATACAAAAAAATGATAAAAAATTATGATTTGTGTTTGATGGGGATCTGGAATTTTAGTTCTTTCAAGTCAGCCCCATACCGGAAGACTGTATTATGATCATGAAAAATCATTTCCGGCGATTTGTTACGACAAGGAAAGTAAGGGTCTTTTTTTCATGATGGGAAATCCGAGATTATCTTCTCATAGTAAGAAATATAAATGATTCAGTGAAACCTTGCTTCTGGATACGGAAACCTGACTCAAATATACATTTATATTCTCTATTACAGCATAATGACACAGATTTTCTTCGTCGTGTGTTATGACAGTGACGTATAATAACCAATAAACTCAAACTAAAACTCAAACGTAGCTACGGGGTGCATATGAGGGCGCGTGTCCCCCCCCCCTACCTAATGCGAAGAAAAGGGAAAAAGAGAAAGAGATAACAAAAATATTTCCCCCTTACTTTAATTACATTACCTCTCTAAAACCGGTTTTCTACCCCTATATGACACTATTGTTCCCAATTCTCACCCCCTTTGGCTGGACAAAACATCAGCTGTGTCTTTGATCCCAATCATCCTCCGGAACCCATTTTTATACTAATTTTCAGTTGCGTAGTAACCAGCTAGATTCAAGATTCAAGATTTATTCATTTCTTTCCACTTGCATTAAAACAAAACAAAATCATCCATGAACAGTAACAACAAGTTCATCGTCAAGTAGAATAAATTAATTAACAATAAAACAGTTTATAAAGACTTTAACAAATGTGGAAAGACTTTAACAAATGTGGAAAAGAGGTGGTCTGTAAAAAAGCATAGCTTGTTAAAACACAGGTCACCTTTACAGGAACAACAACATCTTTTTTTTAAGAAGTAGATTTCAATACAGGGGGAGGGGGAACTAACGATACTAATCTAGTTACCTATACTGACAATAAATAAATGAGGGGCACGTCTCCCTCTCCAACTCGATATGGCGACAGTATAGTTATTAAATAATATGAAAGAGAAAAAATGGAGGAGAGGAAAGAAAAGAAGACGACCCCCCCCCCGATACACCCTCCCTTAGATAATGACCTCGATTAATTTCAATTTAATAAGTAGGACCACCCCCCCCCCCCCAAAGAAGCTACAGTTGTCAATTTTGCTCCACGCTACGCCAATTATGATACGGTTCTTAACGGCATTTAAAAGGCCAATTTCTCCCGCTCGCCGTCATTTCTTGAGCACTGTCATCATAAATGATTTCGATATTAAAAAACCAATTCACAATATACCCCGACTCGGACAGTGTCTCCAAAAAGATCATCATTATGACCGGACTGTCTACTCGATTAAAGTAAACCAATGGATCCATGAACGGAATCTAAGGCTGTACATGAGCATGCAGGACGTCTGTAAGGTCATTTAACAGTCTAATGACTGCCAAGTCATTTAGGAAAATGGTAGGCGACCGTATTGACTTGTTAATAAAATCTTCTTTTTTTCTCTCTTTTCTGTATTGCCTCTATAATTATAATAATAATGGGTTCTTTTTTAGCGCTCGTGTCAGTCAGATTTGACCCTCCTGGCGTTCTCTCTATGTTGTTTTTCAATTTTAATCTCAGTATTACTATTAGTTTTATTGATTTCCCATGGCATTATTACGCCCAGTATTCATTTTTTAAGAGGCGGTCGGTTTTAATCCTTGATTCATTTTGTTGTTACATACTTGATGTATTTGTATAAAAGGTATAACTTATTAAAGATACAGTGGAATGGAATTGAATTGAATTGTATATTATGTAGATATTTCGTAATGTCATATTATGTCTGGGCAAAATGGGCAGGGAGGACCCAATAATGTACAGCATATAGGCACGCTGGTGAACTTATTCATTAGATTATCAATTCAAATACTGTATATGAAGAAGACGTCTGACGAAATTCTTCCGTAACAATAAATATTATGGTAATATAAACTCTTTAGGCAGGGGCGGCCGAGCGACTTCCAAAGTGGGGGGCACCAACAAAAAAGGGCACTTTCTGGAAAAAAGGGGCACCTACATTAGGAAATCTCAAAGCGAAAATATATAATTTTTTAGACATTGGTATATACCCCTACAGTGTGATTACATTATCAGGGATGATTTTATTATTTTTTTTCTCTTCATACATCATACAAAATATCGCTTAAGCATCATACTGTACAGTTGGGTGTGATGTCTGAATATGCATTTACGAGCGAGCGAAGCGAGCGAGAAAAATTTTAAAGATCTGTGAGGTCGCAGTGCGAAAATTACATCTTATAAAGAGGAACAAAGCCGATCGTGATGGTGTTATAAGCACATTCTCATAACGGAAGACTGAAAAGACCTTTGATAAGTAACATAATTATATCATCTTTACATGCGAGCGAGCGCAGCGAGCGAACTTTCGGGGAAAATTGCTCTTAGTCGCTTTAAAAAAGGGGCACGTTTAATGATTACATGAAAAAGGGGCAATTATCGAAAGGGATGAGACACTTATTAGAAAAGAAAAGGAGCACGTGTCAAAGTACAAAAGATAATTGTGTTAAAGAGATGAAAAAGAAAATGGGAAATAGGCATTTGTATGATTTGATGACGGAATGGGGGCACCCATCAGATTTTGATAAGGGCATTTAAAAGAGGGGAAAAGGGGATAGGTCCCTTATCAGAAAGGAAAAGGGGCACGTATCATTAAATGGGCAATTATCAGAGGTGAAAAGGGACACTGACCAGATATGAAAAGGGGCACTTATGAAAATGTAAAAGGGGCACTTATAATAAAGGAAAATGTGTATTTGTTGAATAAGAAGGGGGCACGTTTAAGATTTTTAAAAGGGGCAGTTATGAGAAGGGGAGGGAGCTCTTTCTTTTTTATGGGGGCACTTATCATAAGGAAAAGGGGCACTTATTAGAAAGGGAAAGGGGTAGTTATGAGAAGGGGAATGAGCTCTCTCTTTTTAATGGGGGCACTTATAAGGAAAAGGGGCACTTATTAGAAAATAAAAGGGGCACATATTAAAATGAAAGGTGTGCTCATCGGAGTTTAAAAAAGGGGTAGTTATAAAAAGGAAAATAGAGGCACTTCTTACAAAGGAAAAAAGGGGCAGTTGTCAAAGTAAAAGGAGCACCTCTCAGTTTTGAATAGGGCAATTATCAGAGGTGTAGGGGGCACTTATCAAAAGGGAAAAGGGACACTTCTCGTACCTGAAAAAGGGCACTTACTAGAGATTAAAAATGGCACTTATTCAAGATAATTTCAAGATTTATGAGAACGGAAAATGGACACTTATTGCAAAGGAAAATGGGAACATGTCGAAGGAAAAGGGGCACGTATAAAAAATAAAAAGGGCACTCGTCAGAGGTGAAAAGGGGGAAGGGGCACGTTTACTAAGTAATAGGGGCACTTGTCAAAGTAAAAGGGGCACTTTTCCTATGTAAAAGGGGCACTTTTGGGGTATCTGAAAAAGTGGGGGGGGGGGAATGTGCCCCCCTGCCCCCCGGGAGGGCCGCCTCTGTCTTTAGGCTTACAAAGTGAAACAAAATCATCAATCCATTCAATAATTGACCCTTGTGTGATCTCGTTTGTGGATGACTTATAGGGAAGGGGTAGGGGGTTGGGTAGTTTTCTTCTATTTTGTCAGGCGACTAGCATTCTTGTCTCGTTTTCACAATCATGAATCATTCCAATTATTACCATAAGTTTTGTGGTTTTGAAACTTGGAAGACCACATACAAGGTCAAAGAAGACAGCTATGACTGTACCGCGTAGCCCAGCTGTCATCGGGCAAAATGTCCCAGTTGCTATGGCAGTTGTGATGATGACGTCACCCTCTTGTAGGCCCAAGAGCCTGAAGAGGTTTCCGTCCAGCCAGCTACATCAAATGCCCCCCCCCCCACGAACGTAGAAGGACAAGGGGGTGGACCAACTACGTAAATGTCCTCCAGCTGGTAAACACTTTTCGTGGCAGATGGAGGGGAGGGGCACTACTGAACGTGCCCCCCTTGAAACCAAATTATGGCATGACACTATGTTTGATTTTTTTCCGGCTTTGTGCACTTTTAAAAAAGTGCTGGATACGCCCTAGAACCCTTTAAACAATTGATATCATAGTCAATCAAAGGGAGTGGGGAAACTGCATGCTCATAAAAAGGTGAGAAAAAAGAAAGACTGCATAAACATGCGGTTCGGATCCGATTCCTGTTTTAAAAAAAATGATTTAAAGCAAGATTTCAAAAAGGAGGGGGCAATTTCAAAGAAAAATATCTGACGAGAAAAAAAGAGATGGAATTCAAGAATGGATATAAAAGCAGCAAGCCCCCGGCGCTCTCCCTTCTCTTTAATCTACCATTGTATCCATGAACAAGGGCTGCCCGGGAACGTGACCCCGACCCCAACCCGTCCCTTTTGTGCGATTATGCAATAATACTTAAATATTATTATCATCATCACTATCATAATTATTATCATCATTATTTGTTTTTCAAATTATTATTATTATTATTATAAGTAGTAGTAGTAGTAGTAGTAGTAGTAGTAGTAGTAGTAGTAGTATCATAAACATTGTTGATATTATTATCATTATTATTATTATTATCATTGTCATTATTATTATTATTATTTTTTATTATTGTTATTATTATAAATATTACTATTATTATCATTATTATTATTATTATTATTATCATTGTTATTATTTTAGTAGTAGAAGAAGTATATTCATTTGTTGTCGTACTAGTATGGTAGTATATAATAACTGTATTATATTGCTTGCTTGATAGGGGACAGAATCAGGGTACTTGTAACAATAAAGATAATTATGTTTGATAAATCTTTCATCTTTCAAGTAGCAACCCTTCATTATATTTTAATGAGTCTAATCTCCATTGTCAAAACTAATCAGCACCTAACTTCAAAGTCATCAATCACCATACTAGCCATGGAGGCGAACCATGTATTTGAACTTTCAACTCAAAAATGAGACACACGCTAGTGCAGTCCAATTCGTTTGTAAATCTAAGAAAAGGATATACAAATATGACGTGCAAAATTTTAGACGTATTGAGGAAGTGGTCCATGTCTTAAAATGAGTAAATACTCAAACTTGGCACGATTTCTAAAATAACAATTAACTGATAGAGGTTCTTGAAAAAAAAATAAAAATATGAGAGACCTTGATATTTCCCCTTTTTGTATAGGTGCCTGGTGAAAGACTAACAATACATTAGCATACGAATAAAGACCCGACATTGAACGATATTACGGGTAGCTCACACCTGCTAAAGAAAGGAGACGATTTTCCACCAAAAATGCGCCTCGAAATGGTAAGATTATTCGAGTATTCTCTGTGATTAATGTCCCTTGCTACTGTGATGGTTGTGATTCAATCAGAATCCGTGAAATTAGCGTCTTTAATCTGGGAAAAGCCGGTGATACTTACTGTGTATCTATATATTCTTTGCAGCTTAGCTACGCAGATGTGATTTATGCGTCTGGGTGCACACAAAACTGTACTTTCATTCATTCATCCATATGCGAATTGCGTGTATACACTTGAGTTCGATCAGAATATATACTGGCGTTGTACACAAATGAAATATCGCTGCAGTACCGGGTATATATGTTATATATTTTGAAAGGGAATAAGGTTTTTCAAGGAGAGTTTCTTGAAAACATTCCCGGAAATATAAAGAAAGTGAGAGATGATGACTGTAATATGCATGAATGATGAAGGAAACAGAATTCAAGTTTAATAATGTTACATATTTTATAATAATTCAAAAAAGTTCCCCTTAAAAAAAGAAATCATCAAAATTGAACTATGAGCATGGTTAGATGCATTATTTGATTATGATTATTAAAATTATATGGTTCATTTGATAATTTCACTATAACTTGTTCTGTAACCAAGGAGGTGTCCTGGGGCAAAGATGGGGGAGGGGGGGGGGGGGTCAGGAAAAGCATTGAAAATAATAGGCAAGGGCTGAAGGAATATGAAACTTCACCCTCATAAATTATTATTTAATACTGATTTTTGTTGGTGCTTTGTAAGTAATGCATGCCATAAAGTCGAATGGTATGTGTGTTCGTGTCACCTGATCGGTGTAGGGAGTTGGGCAGTCAATATAATTCATAGGTAAGGGGGGGGGGGGTGTAAAAATACTGTTAAATGATTATACTCAGCATAAATCAAAGTCACTCAAGTTGACTTGTCCCTGAGTCAAATTAATTTGTTTTGACCAAACTATGCAAAACATGTGTAATTGTTCACACTTCGTAAGTTGAATTTTGCATAAAATAAGCTGAACAGAATCGACTTACAGTATGCAGAGTTTATTAGCAGTTTTTATGAACTGCAATGTGTACAATAAAATCAATGTAAGATAATACTGAAATTGTGAATTGCAGAATACCCCACTACGTGTACAATGTAGAGGTTGATACTATTAGCACAGTATAAATGCTGTGGGTTTTAAAATCCATCAATTTTGGGGGGCTAATGGGGTCATACATGTATGAATAAGGCCCAGAACATATTATTATACACAGACCAAGAGCCAGCAAGCCAGACTAATCTCTTATCAGCTGAAGTATAGTCAACCCCTTTTTATGGAAGGTTTTAAAAAAATACATGCTAAACGTATGTTTACTATACTGTGCCTAATGTGGTAATGAATACTAATGACTAACAGTTTACATATCAGCATTATATAAAATTCACCTCTCCTACACTTTATTGCTTAAAGGTAAAGACCAGTTATGGTCATGCGATTGCATTGTGAAAGAAACGTTGTGGAATCGATCAGAAAAGGTTGATCATCTAGCATCTAGCATCTGCAAGGTTCTGGAATCATCAAAATGATAAGAAATTTGGCCCATTCTTCGTAAAGTTACAAGCACTATACACAGAAAGATGTATATGGGACTACCCTATATCTCTCACAGACCATGAGAGAAACAAATTTACCAAATATATGAATTAGTAGGCGGTTTCCCGGCAAATTTGTTATCATCATGTATTAGTCAAAACATATTCTTTCACATGATTGGTAATGAGAGCTTCCATTTCATTTTTTGAAATGGGGGGTTTCCAATACTGGTCTTTACCTTTAAGCCATAAATGTTGCAATTAGATTGGTATACACCTGTACACTGTAACCAGGTCTGCCCATGTTTATCTTTGTTACTTGTATAGTTGTACATATATCATTTACCGAACAATGCAATTCTCTTGACTTATCAAATATTTGAAGATGGTTGAATTTGAACCCTAGACCATGAGTAATCAGATTGTAAATATGTTCTGTGGAGAAAATTGGCGGAATATATGAGATACATGTACATGTGGCTTCTGTTTTTTTTCTTTGCACGATTTATATATTAAATAGAATTTGTGATAGTGATATACATGTACATTAAAGGTTATACAAAGTTTTGGGAAATTTTGAAAATTGGGTGGATAGTCATTCTATACAATTTTGATATATTTGGATGCCCTTTTAGATGTATTATAGGCACTATAAAATTTAGCCCCTAAAACACTTCTGCTTTCGAGATAAATTGAATATAAAAATTTACCGGTGCTCCCGGTAAATTTTGATGAATTTCAAAAAGCGCCTACAGCCGTACAAATAGTAACTGCGACCATGAAAATCTCAGAATATGTAGTTGTGATATATAATTTCCAAACTGGAATAGCTAATCGGTCGATTTTAGTCGAGAAACATTGTTTTATAGCTTAATTAATATCTTGACCTTGAGAGGGAGCTATGCAACCTAAAGAGTTTATTATGTTATTTTCATAACTTTAGACTCGATTTGAACCACGACAACGATCACTGAATATTGTAGGATCGCTTATGCTTCCAATATGTTCATTTGAACCAAATTCATGACTTTATACCAAAACTTTGTAATACCTTTAACATGATGATGATGGTGATGTTGATACCGTACTACTACTAATAATGATGATAGTAATAATTATGATAATAACAACAACAAGGATAATCATAACAATAACAACAATAATAATAATGAAAACAACATTTTGTGAATAAAGTGAGGGGGAGGGGGTAACTCGACCACAGACCACGACACGATAACCCCACGGGTATAATTCAAAGTAAGCCCTTTCAGTTGTAGTCCATTGCTTACTTTATCATTGTGACATGGTAAGGTTTTAGGAAAAAATACTTTTCCTGAGGTTGCTCATGTAAAAGCTACTTTGTACATGTATTCAGAAGTAACCTGACTACATGTATATCTAGATAAACTAAAGTTTAAAATTTAAAGGGAAGAGTTGTGGAAAGGATGAAACATACATGTAAGCTTTGAACCTTTGAATTCTTTTTATGTCACTTTGGAAGAATAAAAAGAAACAAAACCCCGAAATGTCCCCTGAAAACTATTGCTCTTCAAAACGCTCTCATATTCAGAATACCATTAGAAAGAGCCTAAGAGTTCGGACCAAACATGAATGCCACATGTGGGTGTAGTCCCATATAACCATTTCTGTGTGCCTTACATGAACCTATGATTTTCAGCAAGATTGAGGCAATTTCTCTACATTTTGGTCATTCCATGTTATCAATTCTGTTATACAAATGTAGTTACCAACTGACTGAACCCTATTCCTTCCATACAGTTCCTTTCATAATGTAGCTACATGACCTTAATTTATCTTAACCTAGATACATGACATGTACATGTACATGTAAAATCTTCATGTCCAAAAATTACTTTGCAGTCTTCAGGAAATAAAACCGAATCAAGAATATATAACGCCCCACTTCAGGTTTGTTATTGTCTTTAACAAGGAAGTGGTTGCTCTGCCACTTGTAATATATCATGATGTATAAACTAATTAACAAGCCACCATGCTATAATTTGTTTGTCTTTATTTTTTATGCCAAGGGCCTGCATGTGCATGTATCATTATAAGTTATTACAGAATTACTTTATTTTTCTTTCTTTTCATCCCAGGGGCTTAAGTATTTAGTTGTTTTTACAATTTTATGTGATTTCCAGGTACTCTCTTGTTCATTATTGCAATTGGTGGGGGGGGGGGGGTATGTATACATTAACATTATGCATTTAATACATGAATTACATGTACATATATGTGCTAAATCACTTGATGTACATGTAGTAATATTAGGCCTACAATGTAGATTTATACATATAACACTGTTCATTTCTTTTAAATATTTTTAGGCATAGTACTGGTAGTCTACCGTACATGTATACAATATAATGTTCATGTACATTTAGTCATACGTACATGTACAATGTACATGAACTGGTGTCCAAGGAACCCCCCCCCCCCTCTAAACAAATTATAATAATGAGAATAATTACAATAAATTAATAATAATAATGACAATAAATGAATAATAATAATAATAAATTAATAATGATAATGATAATATATTTAATAAATTGACAATAAATAAATTGATTAATAAATAACTAAATAATTTAAGGGGAAAAAAGGGGGAAAAGACATTACTAATGTACATTGTAAGCATTAACCAGACAAAAAGAGTGATTAAAGTAAGACATCAGTGTTTTTTCTGTTGTGTTAAAGATACTATGTCCCTTTTGCAGCCAACATCAAATTCTGTAGAACTTTGCAGGAATTAGGAATATGACATGTACATGTATGTCCTATCTGAAATGTAAACGTTAGCAGTGTCCTAATGTTCAAATTATGCAAGGAAACCTGTTTACTTGCTAGACTTCACTGTCAGACACTATTGAGTGACTGACTGGCTTTTTTCATCTTTGGTAATAAAATACATAAAATGGGCTTTAAAGGGTACATGAGCATTTGTCTACATCAATAACCCACTTCTTGTAATGGCCAAAATTAAACTGATTGGATCTTTGCGCAGCATAAAACGTACGACCATTCGGTATATATGGCCTGAAAAATCAGACTATTACTCAGGGTTGGGCGGTAATTACCGGCAGTAATTACCGGCGGTAAATACCGGTAAATACTGTCCCGTAAATAAGATGCGCGTCCGGTAAATATGTAAAAAATGGGAAATATGATTTTAATTCTCTATTTATTAATAATTTTACTTGTTTTTAGCCTCATAACTGAAAATATTGTTCTGAAGTAATTAGCAGCACAATACTCATAGTACAGTAGGAACACAAAACAGATTTATAAAATCCTCACTGCATACAAAATTGTACACACCCAAACAAATGGCATTTTGTGCATATGCTAATTAATAGGTATTCATGAATATGGTAATTAGCAACTGGGAACCAAAACCTTCATACAAGTTACTTTTATTGTAAAGTTTAAGAT